ATACACCCTGGGTTGTGATTCACTGGTTACTGTCAGTCTGCCCCACCACACTATGCGTTCCTTGAGGGCAAGTGCCAGAGAAAGGCATCCTGTCTGACTCATTTCCTTTTGTGTGTTTAGTGCCTGTCAGTGTCTGGCCCATGGTAGGCATTCGGGAATGAATGCATAAGTTTGATGTTTGATCAGTGATTCATAAATTTGGCAGGAAGGGGGGTCTCCTCCTCTTTTGAAATTGACGATATGATGAGAGTATTAGTTTATTTCCCAAGAAGAAAGCACCTAAACATAAATTTTCACCTACTTTCTTGGTCTGTATGTTTCCACGTGGCCCTCACTTAAAGAAGTCAAGGTGGCTGCTGCCATCACCACTACCACACGGACACATATGTACACACAAATACTGACATAATTTCATGTACAGAATTTGATAAGACTGTGATATGTGCTGTATATTAGCTGTGATTTTCAGTTAAACCCACCTGCTTCCTACATTCCAGTACTCCCCCCTCTTCATTTCCTAAATTGAGACATGATTTTTATTAGTTCCAGCTGTTGGAATGCTACATTTTCTTGTAAGATGTCAAGCTATTGATAGAATTTGCATTTTATTCCATAGTATGTCCTTCTCAAATATATAGACAGTACTCTGGAGCAATTATCTATTCTAGAATGAATATAGGCTTTTTTTTTAACTTCCCACAATGGTGGATCCAGACCCCAAAAGCATATATTCTGAGACTGCTTTTGATGGGTTTTGAATCTGTTTTCTCTTTGAAGCTAACTGGGCCGTAAGGAGATCAATACCACGTGTGCCCTTGGCCTCATTACCACTGCATTACAGTCAACTGAGCCAACAGGACTAGGCAGACGATTTCTCGTTATATTTGTTCATAAGTTATTCTTAATGATTTGGTATCATATCTATTTTTAAAACTAGGACCATGTAATCTCATTACCACTTCCACCAGTTTAGCTATATCTCTTCCCTACAAACTTTGGTTTCTCCCTCCTCACAGTGGAAACCTCCTCTTGCACCTAGACTAACACCCACACTCTGGATTCTATTCCTCTTGCCTCTGCAAAGGCTTTCCCTCCTGCATTAGCCTGTGTCTCTTGTATCATCATTCACTCCTCTACTTGATCATTTCCATTGGTAAATAACCTTCCTTAAAATCTGTCACTCATCTTTAAAAGAATAAAATGGGTTTTATTTACCCATTTAAATTCACCTTTACTGCTTTATTTCTCCCCACTGCATCACACTCCTGGAAAAAAGTTATCTATACTCATTGTTTCCACTTACTCATTCCCATTCTCTGTTCAGTTCTTTCTAATCGGACTTTCTTCCACACCACTCCACTGGAAGATTCTTTATCAAGGTCATCAGCCTCCACTAGTGAAAGCCAGTTGTCCATTCTCTGTCTTCATCTAACTTAACCTTTGTAACACCATCGCATATAGTCGGCCGCATCATCTTTTTAAAATTCCCCTTTTCCAAGCTTCCGTAGTACTACACGAATCTGTTGTGTGCTTGCCCTCCCTGCCTCCTGCGGTTTCTTCTCGGTTGCGTTTGGGCGCTCCTCCCCTGTCTGATCATCAAATGTTGGAGTGTTCTAAGGCTCTTGCCTCAGCCTTGCTCTCTCCTTGTCTGCGTACTCTAGCTTTTAGGAGTTCTCGTCGGCCCATGGCTCCAGAATTGTCTACGTATTGATGACTCCCTGGCTCAGACCTCTCCCTGAGTTCTGAATATGGCTGCCCAGCTGTCTGCAAACATCTCCACTTGTTTGTTTAATGGGCATCTCGTGTTTAAATCTATCAAACAACCATTAACTCCTGCCTCCCTTTTCCAAACCCTGTCCTGTCTTGGTAGATGTCTCTACCATCCATCCACTTAAGGGAATGGACAAAAAAAATCTAGTATCATTCTTATTCTTCTGTTTCTCTTTCACCAGACCTAGTTCTTCAGCAGGTTTTGTGTGATCTCCGTACAGGATACGTGGCAGATGCATCACTCTGCCTCCCCTTCTAAAACCCAGATGCAAGCCACGGTCATCTCTTGCTTTGTCCTGCAACAGCCTCCCAACTGCTCTTTTCCCTCCACTCTCGCACGCTTGAATTTATCCTTCACACAGCCACATTGGTGCGATTAGTTATCTCATGTAACTACCCTGCTATAAAATCTTCTAGTGGTTTCCTTGACAGTTAGAATAAATGCCAATTCTCTCTCTATTTTGTTGTACTTGTCTCTTTGTCTCCCTCCAGTATAACACTAGGTTGCTGAATGTAGGACTTCCCTTGCTCGCACTGATTCCTCAGCACACAGAACAACGCCTGGAAGTAGGAAATGTTCAGTAGTAGATGTTCAGATGTGGAGAACAGACTCTTGTTACAAAACTGTTAACTTCATTATATTTAGACTATGTAAGTTTATTATTTTATATTAATAGAAATTAATTGCCCCCAAAATGGAGTTAAAACCTGTGGTGTTCAGTTTGTAACTTGTCTTCTCCATGACTTCGTTTATTAACTATGATCCTGTAGTTTATGATGTACGTATTTTGTACCTTCTCCTTTGGTCTTTCAGTTACACCAACAAATATTAATGTTCCCCCTCAGCCTCCAAAGAGATTGAGCGACTGGCACAAGATTTCAGTAGTTGAACTGGAACCTAGGTCTTCTAATTCCTAAACCAGACAACTTCATTGGTATAGTGACCCAGATGTGTGCTTGTAGGATAGAAGAATTACAACCTTAGGACCAGCTACATTTTTACTTCCTAAATTCCCTCCAAGATACGTTTTTAAGCTATCTTTAGCTCCATGGCTGTTCTTTTCAGCATTAACATAAAATATTGGTTTGTGTTATATTCAATATAAGTTAAGATTTAATCAATGTTTATTTTTATTTTTTTGCTGAGGAAGATTCACCCTGAGCTAACATCTGTGCCAATCTTCCTCTGTTTTGTGCTGGCTCAGCATGGCTGACAACAAGTGGTGTAGGTCTGCGCTCAGGAACCAAACCTGGGCCACCAAAGCAGAGTGCGCCAAACTTAACCACTATGCCATGGGGACAGCCTTGATCAGTTATTTTTATAGTTACAGTAGTGATATTTAGAACTACCAGGTGTTATGTATGTAATTAATGGTAGGTTCTATTAAATGTGAGTTCAACTGATAGAACCACTATCTTCAAACAAATTTCTTAGAAAAAATTGAAGACTGACACAGGAGGGATAGCAGTCTTTTATTTTTGCTAATAAGGGCATTAAATCATAAGACAGAACAAACTTTCCCGCTATCTAATATCATCCTTTCATAAAAGAAAGAACATTTAATTTGAGAATCAGTAAGCATGTAATCTCGGAACTTCTCAAACTATAGTTCTTTAAAACAAATAAATTTTGTTTTGTGGAAAACTTCACTGCCTTGATTCCCCTATCCCTCGGTTAAACCATGGACTCGTGTTAACTGTTTGCAGCCATGTGTGATTGGGGAGCATTGCTCTAGTCTGAAGAAACAGTATGTGGGTTCGAAATTATAATTTTCAAGTTTCTTCTCTCATATTGTCTTTCTCCCTGATCAGTTACTCCAGTTCTTCACTGCGTTTCCTTTTGTTACTCTGTCTCAAAGCCTAGAACTCTGTGGAGCCCTTCTGTTGATGACTTTTCTCATCAGAAGTCTAAAATGCATTCTGAACTGCCCAGTATGAACCCGAGTTTGTTACAGTTACTAGTGTAAACATTCTCTGGAATCTTTTCGTTACCTTTAATAAAGTAAATAATTACTTTAAAAATCTATGTATTCCTTTCTCATTGTTTATTCTAACAATATACTTTCTCTCTTCTCTCTCTCCTGCTCTCTGCCTGCCTCTGCGTTGAGATTAATAGCTAAAACATTTAAAGCTGAGAGCTTTCCAGTAATCTGCTGTTTTCCTGTCTTCCTCCTTTGATATTTTCTTAGAATGAGCTCTTGCCAAAAAAAAAGAGTTGAAGTGAATTAAATTAATTGTAAATTTAAATCTATAATGGTAAATTGAAAGTTGTATCATCCTAGTATCTCTGCCCCTTCTTCGATATTCTTAAACTAAGGAAAAATGTCGTTTGTCACTGCTGTGCTTTCAGACCCCCACAATAATGTAAATGTGTATATACTTTTAGCTAATTGGGATGTATCAGGCTTGACAGGACCAGTTGGGTTAAATTGGAGGAGGACTTGCTTGATGGGGTGAAGGAAAGGCAAAATTGATGTTTATCCAACTCTCTTAACCTCTTCCCTCATAGCTTTCTAATTCCACACTCCAGGCAATAAGTTTTAGGTCCTACAGTGTCCCCTTTCCCTTACAGCGACCGCAGGTGCAGTCAGTCAATAGCGCCACCTATTTCTTCAATTGGAAATAAATCCTAAAAGTAAAACTTGAAAGGTCGTCGTAGGTCTCCTGTTTTTTGTGACTTGCAAATTTTTTATCAATCTAATTGTAACAGACATTTTAGTAGAGAAGTTTGAAAGCCTGTAATAGATTAACTTTTCATTGTTCTTCAGTGAGTAAGAGAGAAAAGCAGACTTTCACTGATTAAGTTAACCAAAATGCAATAAGTGAATCAAATAAATACCTTTAAATACTCGTCCATCTTTGGAGGGAAAACACAAGTAAAGGTCAGGGAAATGTTTAATTCTAATATAAAACCTCCAAACTGTCGGGTCAGTTCTGGTCTCTGTCAGTCTACAAGACGGTATAAGATAGTATGATCAAAAATAAGCAGTTGGGAAGAGTGAAAATTCTTAATCCAGTTTTGAATTATCTATTCAAAATGTTCTTTTAAAGCACTGCACATGTTTTTCAGTGATTTAAATTCTATACACTTAGTCTAATACACAAAAATAAACCATTTTGGTAGGGTCTTCCGAATTGGAACCTAAAGTATAACAAATGAATGTGTTTTGTATAAAGTAGATATTTTCATTTGTAAAACTGTTCACTGAAATTTGTTTTCTTTTTATTAGGTTTAAGTGGAAACCCTGCAGATATAGAGAGAAGAGAAGCAGTGTTTGGAAAGAATTTTATACCTCCTAAAAAGCCAAAAACCTTTCTTCAGTTAGTATGGGAAGCATTACAAGATGTCACTTTAATTATATTAGAAATTGCAGCCCTAGTATCATTGGGCCTTTCTTTTTATCAACCTCCAGAAGGGGATAATGCACGTAAGTAAATTGGGGAAGAAAAGAGGACTTCTATGTGTGGTACTAAGTTCACTCATTTACTTACTTGATAGATCGTAATAACAGGTGGGCATTCATTGACTGTTTGCTGTGTGCTAGGCACCATTCTAATAGTGCTTTTAATGGTTCTTTAAATATATTACCTCAGATAATTTTCACAATAACTCTATGAGATAGATGGTGTCACTTCTCGATAACCCTCCCATATATGCATACTGTGTGTCTGGTAGGAGCTAAGCCATATATATGATGTGTCTGTGCCATCACAGGTTTTAAGTTCTTTAGAACATTATTGTGAAAAAATTGGTATTTAATTTGTTTTTTGATTTTTTAAAAAATCTTTAGGAAACTCATATGAAAGCAAAATTCTGTTCTCTTCCCGTCTATTAATTTTCAAGTTCTTAAAATTTGTTGCTATATACATGATTTGGGTAATTTCCTTGCCATTCTAGAAATGTTTATACTACAAAGTATCCTGTGTGATGGAAAAATACGTTATAGAATGGTAGATCTGCTTTAACTTGTAGCTACAAACGGTTTTGCTTTTCTCCCACCTTTACATTTCTTCTTCTTCTCCTTTTAAAAAAATTTATTTAAAATGGATATCCCCTAGAGTATAGTCTAGAATTGCTAGGAAATCTAGCTTGGGTTTTGCTCACTGTATTTAAGTCGCTATAGAGTGAGCCAGAAGTATTTTGTTTATCAGAAGAGTGATTCACCAAAGTATTTGTGTGTGAAAGCTTCATTCTTATGCCTTTCAAGTTATGAAGAATTGAGCAAATATTTGCTAACTCTACAAGTTGGCTTAGGTAATCATTTGAAGTAGTTCCTTCAAAGGTGTGCCTGGAGCTTATGTGAGAACTTTTCTTTTGGAGAATGTTGGTCACAGAATAAGCCAGTTTATCTGAGATCAATGGAGATCGGGCTTTCTTAGCAGCAGCACTGTTGACATTTTGCACTGGAACCTTCTTTGTTGCCATGTTCATTGTACCACCCCCCAAATGAAGCAACCAAAAACGTCTCCAGACATTGCCAGGTATCCCTCAGGGGACAGAATTGCCTGTGGTTGAGAATCGCTAATGCAGAGATAAGAAAGGATTTAGGGAATATTTTTGTCAGTATTGAGCCAAATTATTTTTAGAACTTTTATTTATTTTTATTAGATAAATAGTACATATTTTGCTGTAGAAAAATTAGGGGGAAAATGACAATTCAAAGGAAATGATATTCACTGAAAATCCCACTTCTTAGAGATTATTGCTGTACCATTTTGATATGTATCCTCCCAGATTTTAAAAATATATTTTTGTGTATATATGTGTGTGTGTGCACTCATGTATGTGTATGTGTGCATGTGTGGGTAAGTGAGGATGTGTAAATGTGTGTCTTTTTATCTGACAAAGGATGCATACCATGTTCAGCAACATCCAGATAAATTCTTTAGTGTTCAGTTTACCCAACTGTCGTTGTGGAATGCTAGGAATTGGTATTCTAGAATTGAGTCAGTTAGCAGATTATTAAAAACTTTTTAACATTTTTTTTCCTAAGACTAAGAACTAAAGAAAACTGTTATCAATGGGAGTGGATTTTGTTACTGACAAAGTCTGGACAAACCTTTTTGGAATTCAGACTGCTTCTTTTATAGGATGTAGTGACAGGCCGTATCCCAAATTTGCTTAAGGAGATACTGGTATTAGATCCAACTGGGAAGATAATCTAGTTGTCAGTGTCATAAGACCAGTTAAAGAGACTCAACATCTCCCAGAAGGTGTTAATAAACATAGAAAGATATTTTTGTTCCATGCTGAAAAGTTAGTGTTTGCACTTTGTGTTAACATTTATTAGTGTACTTCATGTATCTTTTCATCATGTTATGTTTTAACACTACGAGGTAGTAACTTACTTAAAAGGAAACCTATTCATTGTAATCTACCATCACAGAAATCTAAATGGTCACAATTTCTTACTGGTACTGTTTTGTGTGAAAATATGCACTGTAGTCACTAGTGTACTAGTGTTTCTCAGACTCTTTGGTCCCAGGGCCTTTTTACACTCTGAAAGTACTGAGGACTCCAAAGAGCTTTTGATTCTGTGGGTTATATCTGTATACATTTACTATATTCTAAATTAAAACTGAGAAATTTAAAAATGTTAATGCGTTTTAAAGTAACATATATAATAAAATATGATTATTGTTATTAATGAAGTTTTAAGGGAAATAATGAAAAGAGTAGCGTTTTTCATTTCATCATCTCTCTGCTGTCTGGCTTAATTGAAGCTGACTGGATTCTCATCTACTTCTGTGTTCATGGTGTTGTATTAGCACATGTAATGTGGCCTTTGGAAATTTCACTATACATTCATGCAATATGAGGCAAATAGCGTCTTAATGTTATTATAAAAACAGTTTTGGGGCTGGCTCCGTGGCCGGATGGTTAGGTTCGCGCGCTCCGCTGTGGCAGCCCAGGGTTCGGATCCTGGGCGTGGACATGGCACCTCTCATCAGGCCACTTTGAGGCGGGGTCCCATATCCCACAACTAGAAAGACCTGCAACTAAGATACACAACTGTGTACAGGGGGGGTTTGGGGAAATAAAGCAGGAAAAAAACAAAAAAACAGATTGGCAACAGTTGTTAGCCCAGGTGCCAATCTTTAAAAAAAAAAAAAAAAACAGTTTTGACCTCAAGGATCCCCCTGGGGTTCCTGGACAACACTTTAAGAACTGCTTCGTTATGCTATTAAGGCAGACAGGTGCTACATACCACCGAAGAAGTAGCTCAAGTTGGGGATTTTAGAATGGAATATATGCCTTGTGGTAGAAAACGTAGACTGAATTTAGACTGTGTATCTCTCTCAGGTGAATATATTTACAAGGGAACACCTTTGGTAAAATCAATTTTTATTGTTGTATTTATACTTGCATTTTACTGAAAAGATTATTAACATACTTTTTTTCATATATGACTGGTAAACTACAGTCCATTCTTCTCTTTGATTTAGGGATTATTTTTATCCCTCTAAAGATTTGTAATGTTCATCAATAGGAAAAGGATTCAGTTTCTAGAAATATTTTACTGCTGTCTATTTCAAGATCATTCTAACTTTGTGTAATATAAAGTAGAACTATATATGAAATGAAATATGTCATTAATTTGTTTCAAGTTCTCTTTTGAAATATTCAGTAGTTTCGTTATAAATATGCAGGTGAAATTTAAAGCTGAAAATTAAATAATTGTCTCACAGTTTCTTCCCCTTACCTTTTTTTTTTTTTTGAAGATTGGCCATAAGCTAACATCAGCTGCCAATTTTTTTTCTTCTTCTTCTCCCGAAAGCCCTGCAGTACATAGTTGTACATTCTAGTTGTAGGTCCTTCTAGTTGTGCTATGTGCAACGCCACCTCAGCATAGCCTGATGAGCAGTGCCAGGTCCGCACCTAGGGTCCGAACTGGTGAAATGGGCCAGCGAAGTGGAGCGTGCTAACTTAACCACTCAGCCCCAGGACCCGCCCCCAGACCCCTTAACTTCTGTTGCATTGATCTTTAAACTGTTTTGGTTACTTACCTATCAGGAAAAAAAATCTGAGCACATATCTCCAAATGATGTATTTATGAATTATATATATATATTTGTAACTATATACAATGAGTGTATTTTTAAACATATATAAAAATAGAAATTGAAAAATTAAAAAGATGAAATTTTAAATTTTTATAGCATTATTGCATATACATAATTATACTTGATAATCTTGATTTAACCTGATTTGAGTGTAAGTTTGGTTTATTTCAGAACTTGGTTTTAATGTCTCTCATGCTGAAAAAGAAACTCAAAACGTCAGGAAAATCTAAGTGGAAGAGTGTACTCATTAAATCATGGTAGTTATGTTCACTCCCATCCACCAGTTATGCGAAGGTTTTTATTGAGATGTGACTGGTAAATTCCATCTTCTGATGTCAGTCTGCTGTTCTTGCACACTGTTGTAAAGTATTGCATTTTCATGTTTAACCAATGAGATCAAAACCCACTGAAATGCTTCATTTGGAAGATAATATTTGAGCTGTGTTTCCAGATTGGTGAAAGTGGTCAGCATGGCATTTCACCCTTCGTCTGTTCTTGAGTCCACACTTGCTTTATCTAATTCAGAGAGCAGACCTCCTGTCTTCTGGGCAGGGGGAGTGATAAGGGACAGCTGTCCTTACAGCTTCTACTGTTTAAGAAAATGTAAACCATTAATTCATGTAACTGGTTATTGTACGCAATGATACATGGTCATTTCTTCAGCTTGAATATAATTAAAATAGGAGTTTTAGTATCTGGTGGGGCTGGTGGCACTGGCACTGACAATTGGATCATCCTGCCATCTTCTTTGGAGAACTTTCTTTATACCCTTTGATGGCTACATCCTACTGATGGTTTAGGGATGTTTTTTTGTGAGTTTTCACATCATCCCTTCCATTTCAGCCCCAGTTGATCCTACTCTAGCCTCTGTCTTCTGTCCCTTCACCTGTCCCACATACCTCTCCCAGATTAATCTTTATTCAGCACCCTTACACCTCACATCCTCTCTTCAGTTCATGCTCAGTATTCTGGAATATGCTTCAGCCATTTCTGCTGTTATTCATTTACTCCTTCTTTTCTTCTCAGTAATCCTTTTCCTGCTTTGCCTGACCTAAGAGAACCATTGGCTTTCAGAGATTTCAGCTTAACCCTCAATAAGAAATAACTTTACGTAGGATCTCGGAAGAATGTATTTCTTCATGTGAATTTGTAAATAACCAACGTAAGCTTTCAAGAAACAACACTTATCTTTGCTATATGTATATCCTTTCTGTATTGTTCTGTTTTATTTTTCAAAATGCTGGTCATGAGCCACTTAATTGATTCTGAACTCACAGATAGATTATAGCCCGAAGTCTAAAAAGCTCTGTTCCATTATTCTTTTTTCACCATTATCGACCCTACAGTTTTGAGTTTTTGTTTTTTTCCACTCCCTTATCTTTTTCCGAACTCTTCTGCCGTAGAACCTTTGTACTAACTCTAATCTCTCCCTAGAATGCTCTTAGATCTGTATGGCTGGTTCCCTTTTAGCAATTGGCTCCAAGTTCAAACGTCATGGACTCCTCAGAGGGGCCTTCTCTGTTCACCCAACCACAGTTAGCCCTCTTTCTTCATTTGATAGCATGTCATCATGTTTTATTTTCTTCATAGCACGTAACAGTATCTGAAATTAATTATTTGTGTTTTATCATCTGAATTTTTCCTGCACCATCCGCACCTGCCAATCTGAGTGTGAGTTCCCTGAGGAGAGGGAGCTTGTATGTCTTACTCACTGCTGTATCTCTAGCTCCCAAAATAGTGTCTGGCTCCTAGGGTAGGTGCCCAAATAGTTGAATTCCTGAGTAGCACTTTGCTTAACTTTTCATGTTCTGAAAGCCAAGCTTTGGTTATACTCTAGTAAAAGTGATGCAGTAAATACGTATGATTCATAAATAACGTATAATACCTAACTTCATGTCTGTCTTGCCGACTGTATGCAATGTAGGTAATAGCAGTAATCATTGAGTGCAAAGGATGTTTCAGCCACTGCTCTGCCTACTTTACAGGTATCCTCTGATTCAGTCCTCACAACAACTCTTGGTAGTTGGTGGTATCCTAATTTGACAGATGAAGAAACCAAGTCTCAAAAATAATTAACGTGCCTTAGCGCTGAGATTAATCTTCCCCAGTGTCCTTACTCTTAACTAGTACCCTAGACTGCCTCCCTATCCGGGGGGTGAGAATCTGGAGAGGCAGGGAACTTGAAATTGACCTAGGAATCATTCTTGTCGTTATGGAATGCTTTGAGTTCAGTAAGATGTTATAGCTATAAGTAAAATAAATGGGGTATGTAAACACTATAATGAACTTGTTGCGTATCTTTTGCCATCAATTCACAATCTCTTTTGATAAGCATTTTCTTTCTTTCCAAATAGTTTGTGGACAAGTTTCTGTTGGCGAGGAAGAAGGTGAAGGTGAAACCGGTTGGATTGAAGGCGCTGCAATCCTCTTGTCAGTGGTGTGCGTGGTGTTAGTAACCGCTTTCAATGACTGGAGTAAGGAAAAACAGTTTAGAGGTTTGCAGAGTCGAATTGAGCAAGAACAGAAGTTCACAGTCATCAGGGGTGGTCAGGTCATTCAGATACCTGTAGCTGACATTACCGTTGGAGATATTGCTCAAGTGAAATATGGTAAGTAAAAAAAGAGCAGCACGCCTCACACTAGGTGTAATATTATTGCAATCTTGTTTACAGTTTAGCACATCATTGCTTTTTGTTTTAGGTGATCTTCTTCCAGCTGATGGCATACTTATTCAAGGCAATGATCTTAAAATTGATGAAAGCTCATTGACTGGAGAATCTGACCATGTCAAGAAGTCTTTAGATAAGGATCCCTTACTTCTATCAGGTATGAATTTCTTTTACAACTTTGAACTTTTCCTCCTCCACAACTGTATACCATTGCCAGCAAACACAGTTTCCCTACAAGCCAATAATATGGAGAGGATTTTATGTTTTTTCTTAGCTTCTACCCTTAAAATCCTTAGGGACCTTTTTTTGTAAGCTAGCAGAGACATTAGAAATCTTTGAATCCGGAGCTATATTGTCCAAATGTGGAATCTGCGTCCAAAAAATGAAGAGATTTGAAACTCAGTTAATGTTGGTGTTATGATAGAAGTAGAATGTAAGCCTATGATCTCTATTGAATTGTTCAGTTTTTCTGTATCGCATTTGTTCTTAAGGCCTATTGAAGTATAAAATTAAAGAATGATTGTGTTTACAGCAAATTAATGAATTCTCTATGATAGTCTGCAAAGGACAGGGTTTTTTTTTTTTTTTAAAGAACTAACAAAATCCTTTAAGTTTACCTAATCCAACTCCCTCATTTAACTGCTGAGGAATGAGTGAGACATAAACTGTCTTATCTAAGACGATATGACTCATAAACAGAAGGTCCAGGGGTAGCACCACATCTACTGGGCAGGATGGAGTTTGCACGTGGTTAAGACATGTTCTGAGCGTGGAGAAGGGAAGGATTTGTTGGAAAAGGGGAGGTGGCTGCTATGTGGGAGGCTCTTGTGCTACCCTGACTGTGATAGCTTGACCTCAGGTTAATTGGAAATGAAGTGAATGGGCTGATGGGAAAAATTACAAGCTGCCTTCTAAAATGATGAATGAGAGGAAGCCGTAGTACCACACCTTGACTCCCAAAGATGCCAGTTCTTTAACTTTTGATTTCCAGGTTCCTACTCTTAATTTTCTAGTATTCTTTATAGAATTTATAAAATTGTACAACAGTTATTTTAAATATATTTTTTAGATTGAATTATACTAGAGTTTGGAGGAAGCAAAATGGTGCCTATTTGTCTTCTATTATTTTCAGATGTTAATGGAATGCTAACATTTTATATATTGTAGGGAAATTCCTGCTGATTTAATTATTTAGTAACTTGGCAGCTACAGTTTTTCAGTTCTTCTTTGTGAACTTTTTGTTTTAATTAGTTGAACATGGTTTTGCTGAAACCAAAGTCAAACCTATGACAAGGGTCACTTAAGTTAGAATTACAATTTCAGGCGTGTGCTTAAGTTTAACTGTTACCTTTTTAAGATTTGCACATATGTGCCAAAAAGCTTACTGCAAAACATCCCACCACTAAAAATCACAGTAATTACAAGTACAGTCACATGCCACTTAATGACATTTCAGTCAGTGACAAACCACATATACAACACTGGTCGCATAAGATTAGTACCATGTAGCCTAGGTCTGTAGTAGGCTATACCATCTAGGTTTGTGTAAGTACACTCTGTGATGTTCGCACAATGACAGAATAGCCTAACGATGCATTTCTCAGAGCATATCCCGATCATTAAGTGATGCATGACTATATATGCATTATAAACACCATTATAAATGGTGAAAGTTTCAGTTGTAATATAGACTTAGGTTTCTTTAAAAAAAATCATGAGATTTGTATGCCTTCAATATCCTACACCACTAAGAACATTCATACTCTGGGTATTTCTTTATATTGGTGTGCTTGTAATTCATTAAAGCAGACAAATATCTTGGATATAAAATGTATTTTAGTGTAATATATACTCATTCCTTGCCATACTTCTAAGAAATTGTAGTTACTGTTAACCAAATAGTCTATAATCTTTCCAAAGGAGAGGGAAGCTAGCTAATCATACTTTATCATCACAGAGTAACTGGGCCACAGTATTTGGTAAACTGAGATAGTCGCCTCTTGCCTTTTTGCCATATATACTTCATGAACTTTCGTGTACGTCTATCTTATTTGCATAATGCTTAGCTCTTCGGGTTGACGTCTTTAACTGAACTTTGGTCCTTTTCTGTTTTAACAGAGATGTGTAGCTAGACGCAGGTTCCTAACACACCAAGTATACCAAGAGAACTCTATAAATTTTCTGTGTTTAAGAAAAGACTGCAACTTTGTGGAGTCCCTTATCACAGGCCGGGTGGGAAAGTTTTCTGCATTTATTTCCCTATTCCAAAAATGTACTAAAAAACATGAAATGCGTTTATTTTTAAATTTATTCTCATGATGCCATCTCTGGCTGCTGTGCTTGGCTTCTTAAATTTAGATTTTTAAAAGCAGTTACTCAGCAGTGGGGTTATAACCAGAACAAAAACTGTTTACTCTGCCTGAGCACGTTAACTGCCAACTTCTGATTACCTGTGGTAAGAAAGAATAGAAGATAAAAAATTGAAATCCACCGAAAGCCAAAATTGTTAAAAGAAACAAACTGTCTTTATACATAGTCCTCGCACAAAAACTATTGTTTCACTATCCTTAATTTCATTTCTTGTTTCCTTTACATGTTCACTGGCAAAGAAGCTACTAGAGAAGTATTCAAAATATAGATTTTTAAAAACAAAATCAAAGGCCTAAAAAATTCATATTGGATAAGTTACTCAGTAATTAATAGCCAAATATAAATTCTTAGGTATTGGAGTAAGTACATATGCTTTATGATCTTATGTTGCAAATATCCCTGAGCATTGATTTGGTACATAAGATGGTGGTAGGTGCCACAGGCCCTCCCCTCCAGATGGTTGTGAACTAGGAGATCAAATAAGTAAGCGATAACTATAAAGAAGACTTTATTGAGTGTTAAAAAAAAAAAAGCGTTAAGTTTCGAAAGCTACTTAGAATTCACGAAAATATTAGAATAGAGAGATGGGAAGCCTTTTAATGAGTGAGGAAAGATGCAGAGATGTGGATGTACAAGCTGGAGAACTGTAAACAAGTTTGTCGGCATATTATTTTAAGAAGATGTCAGAGTAGTGGGTGAGAAAGTGTGAAAGATTGGTTGGCTTCAGGGTAAGACTTTGGACTTAATCTAGTAGGCGACGTAGAGTCAGTTTTTGAGTAGTGAGAGGCTTATGATAAAATTACATTTTAGTGAGCCAGCCCTGATGGTGTAGTGGTTAAAGTTGGGCGCTCCCTGCTCCCACAGGCTGAGTTTGCTTCCTGGTCTGGGAACCACACCACCGTCTTTGAGTAGCCACTCCCTTTCAGTGGTGGCGCTTACATAGAAGAACTAGAATGACTTACAGCTAGGATGTACAACTATGCCCTGGGGCTTTGGGGAGGGGGAAAAAGAAAAAGAGGAAGATTGCCAACAGATGTTAGCTCAGGGCATATCTTTCAAAAAAAATCACATTTCAGGAAGACTAAAACTGATTTCAGGATGAACTGGAAAGACAGACAAGCTAGGAGGCTATTGCAGTAATCTAGGCACGCTGTGGTAGAAAGCCTGGGTTAGGTAGCGGTTGTGGGGTTGAATGTGGGAAATATGGCATTTGTTGCTGTGGAATCCTTTTGGTTATAAGCACATTTCTTTATAAGCAACTTATTTCTTAGGGAAATGTCCCTAATAATAACAATAATAATAATTTAAAATATTGAGCATTCATTGAACTGCTACAAATTCCAGGCAGTGTGCTAATAAGCACTTTACATTTATAGGCTTATTTGAGTCTCGTTTTTATAAAGTGTAGGTACTGTTTTCCTCGTTTTGTGGATGGGGAATTGAGATGTTATAATTTACCCGCTATTACGTGATAAATGAGTGGTAGAGTGAGGTTTGAACTCAGATATGACTTATTACAGAGCTAAAACCTTAAGCCCAAGAACTTAGGTTTTATTTAATGTCTTACTGAATTTAAAAGACAAACAAGTTTTCTGTTGTTGTAGGTACTCATGTAATGGAAGGCTCTGGAAGAATGGTAGTTACTGCTGTAGGTGTAAATTCTCAAACTGGAATTATCTTTACCTTACTTGGAGCTGGAGGCGAAGAGGAAGAGAAGAAAGATGAGAAGAAAAAGGAAAAGAAAAGTAAGAATCGCAGTTTACTATAAGAATTGGTATGTGGAAATACAGCAACTAAGATCAGAAGAACTGGTACAAAAAAGTACGCTTCTTCCATGAGATTCTGAAATGAAAAGTTGTACCAAAAGTTAATTACCCAGTATTGTACTTTGAAGTGGTAGAATTAACGAATGGGGCGTTTTCCTTTCAGACCTAACAGTCTATGAAGCAGCTTTAGTGAATACATTGAAGCCTTTACCATAGCCAGACAGATTCAGCATCTCCTCAGACACTTCCATTGGCTTTATTTTGTTTTTTTCTGTTAACTCTGTTAATTTTAATTTTTTGTTAATTATTTTTTCTGTTAATTCTGTTATTCTGTTAATTCTCTAGTTTTAGAATCTCCCTGTCATCTGACCAGCAAAATGAATTAAACTCTCACTTTCTATTTGTTCATTTTTTCTGCTGCTTGAGTAGTAGCCTTTTTTGTCAGCGATCTCACACTTTGGTCCCATTGAGCTTTTCATCTTTTTCAGATTTTCTGCTAGGATTCACATTTCCCAGTCTGTACTTATGCAGTTGGTTTTTGGACATAAGACCAAGGCTTCACTTTGACACTTCTTAGGTTTTTCCTGTTATCTTCAGCCCATCATTAACTACCAACATTTTTTTGTTTTGATTGCTGTCCGTCCAAGTGATCTGTCATCAACAAACTTTATAATCACAGCTTATCTGCAAGGATCTTATAAGAAGCTCTGTCCTATGTAAGGAAACAGCTCAGAATCACTTAGCTGGGGGCCATGTTCCTTTTTTTAAAAAGCCCTCCCCACCCTGCTTCTCAGTATCTGCTGTACCACCCTTTTCTCCCATTCAGGATCACTCTCTGGTGCTTTTTCCCTTTAGGCTGAAAGCAGTTAACTGTGGTTTAACCACTTAGATTTATTTAATTTTACTTAGGAAAGTAAGTGCATGTTTCTCTCACTCAGAAGTATTTTGAGATCTAAAATGAATGCCTCGCTAAAGTCTTGGTTTGCACTACAGAAGTGTTTTGAATATTTAGGTGTTTTATTCTTTGAGTTTTGGCTTTAGCTATGCAATCTGTATTTCAAACTGAAATGTGTTTGAAAAGTTCTGGCTGCAAGCGAGGGTAACAAGCCCCACATTCTAGGTTTCGCCTATCCCACCCCTCATAATAGCCCTCCATGTGCCACCTTGGCTTTCTTAACATGGAGTGGAAGGCAATTTGAAAACCCGGAGTAATGATACCATTTATTGAGTGCTTTGTGTGCATAATCTCATGAATCCTCACGGCCATATGACGTAGAGACTGTTATTCTTTCTCCTGATGTGTAAACTGAGGCTTATGGAGGTTGTATAACCTGCTCAGATCAAAGATCTACTAGGTGGCAGATCAGACCCTCTTATCTGGCTCAAGAGTCTGTGCTCTTTTAACTGTAACACTGTGTAGGTCCTGATTTATAGGAGACTGAAGTCAGCGGACCCTATTAAAACAGAAAGGGAAGTTTGGATCATGTCTTTATTCTTATTGACCCCACAGTGTCCTCTGCAATAAGCACCCTTCTTTCTAAGATTTTATACCCCTGTTTTTTATTAATCCAGTCAAGAGTATTCCCAGGAATTAACACATAACTGATTATCTACCATTTTTGATTCTTGGGGGTATTTTGGTTTCCTTTTTAGAACAGAACACCATTTTTCCATCTGTGGGTTTCCAGCTCTCCTCCCGTTCCCTTGACTGCTTTGGTGGTCACTCCAGAGAGTCCAGGGTGATCGGTCTCAGTTCCCTTCGTGGTCTGGCTCTCTCTCCAAACTTGAGCTCATTAAATGTAGCTGGGTATTCTCTTACTATCTCCTCCTATCTTGAGCGTCTCTTTCTTCTTGACCATGTTTGTTCCACATTTTCAAGTTTGAAGATAGCTCTCCTTGATAGAGAAGCTGGAAGAAAAATAGGCTGAATGGTTCTACTTCCACTTCCTCTTTGTCATTTTTAATATTATACTGCCTTCTCCAAACAATAGACCCATACCCTCCTGGATTACTTTATTGCTTCAGACGTTCTCATCTTTCTGTTTTCTCCACATCTAAGCTAACTTGGGAATTACCTTACGTAGTAGTCTCACTGGCTTATTTTGTATCTTCATATTCTAGTTTTACTTGCTTGCCTCTCCCATCTTTTACACATACCATTTTTGTTCTCACTTCTGTCAAAGCTCTCCTGTGTGCCTCTTGTCTTCCTATGACATTCGTCCCTCTCTTTCTACCCCTGCCCTTTTCTACTTTCTTAGGATTATATCTGTATTTAGTTTGAAAACCTCTTAGACCATATTTGGGTTTATTACAGTGTAAAAAAGAGTAAAGTCTTATGGAGAAGTCAAACAAGTTTAGATGCCCCAGATTATTTTGGGGTATTCCCCTGTGGTTGAAACCTAGGGAGTGTTTGCCCCAGCAGGTCATGATAAGCCAAATGCTTTCTAATTTGTACACACACACAAACACAGATCATTGTGTAACAGTTCTGTTATAGAAATGTGAACTACGTTTACATAATTTAGCAGGGCTGTATTCATTTCTCTTGGAAAGCTTTAATTCCCATTTTGTTCCTACAGATAAGAAACAAGATGGAGCTATTGAGAATCGCAACAAAGGTAAATTCAGAAGGATAAAAGTACAGTTAGCTTGTTTTCGTTATATCCAGAAATGTATCTACTGTGTAGTATATTCATCCAAGAGTAGGACACATGTAGCAGAGAAAACAGTATGTTAACTTGGGTAACCTCTCTTCCAGTGCCTTACTCAAGCTGCCTTTACAGTGTTAAATAATAAGATTTTAGTTATGTCTTAGGGTAGTAAACTTAGAAAAATCCAGATGTAATTGACTTTAAACTTAAGTGTTTGGGATATTTTTACATCGGTTCCTATATAATTGCTAGAAAAAATGCATAAGAAAATGTATAACGTGTTTTTTGCATTTAAGAGTATAAACCTATGTACATTTCTCTATATGTATGGTTATACATAACGTTCTATGATGGTCATAACGTATATGGGAGGAATTTATGGTGTTTGGAATGAGTCTCATTATCTACCACAACACAGGGGAAGAGAAGTGATGGGGTATTTAGCTCTTAGTTTTAGGACCTTTTCTTCTTATGCCCCATCTCTGTTACCTAGCACAGCATTCTCAAATCTGGTTCAAAATGTCACAACCTGGTGTCACTGTTGTCTTATTTTCTCTTGGTGGACATAGACATGCACACACACAAAGCTGAGTGTTTAAATCTTTTCTAGTTTCTGTAAGAAACTGGTTTCTTTCAAAAATTGTTTGCACATGTTAATGGATGTGTACCCTTAAAATGTACTGACGTTATATTTGCTCTTAAATGTAGCAAAAGCCCAGGATGGTGCAGCCATGGAAATGCAGCCTTTGAAGAGTGAAGAAGGTGGAGACGGTGATGAAAAAGACAAAAAGAAAGCAAATTTGCCAAAAAAGGAAAAGTCTGTTTTACAAGGGAAACTTACAAAGTTGGCTGTTCAGATTGGCAAAGCAGGTATGATCTGTAAAAGAAAATAAGGGGTTTTGTTTTAAAATACACTAACTTTCTACCTAAAAATCATCTTTTGACGCACTTAAGGCTCAAAGTTGTTGCTTTGTGAGTGGAAAGGGAGTTAAAAGTATTTTCAATTTTATCCACAGTGAACCAGGCCTTGGGAGTTATTGTAAATCCTCATAACATGATTGCAGCTTGGGAGCTGTATCTCCATTTTACTAGAGGGAGGTGTCCTCTGTCAACTAGCTAATGAGTGGTCAGGTTAGGAGTCACGCGAAGTCTGCCCAGTCCATAAGCCCATGCTCTCATCTCCGCATTTCTGGAGAGGGGGCCAGCAGTGAGGTTGTTCAGTGCACATTACCCAGCTATATTTTCATGAAAAGGAATTTCGGTACACATCTTGCTGTCTTTCTGCCCACTATCTATGAAAAAAATTAGGTGTATGTTTTTCTAAAAGTTACCATTTACTCTAATTGAATGGATTTCAGCCTCCTGGCGAGCCTGAAGTTACTAAATTGCCTCTGTCCCTGGGAAACGCCTGTTAATGGAACCACTCTTTAGGGGGAAAAGAAAAAAGCAGAGCTCTTAGCTTAAAACAGTGCATGCCCTCCAGCAGTGTCATCTTTGTAAAAGAACATGTGTGGCTGAATCAGCGTGTATTATTAAAATCACTTAAATTGCATCATTCTGTTACTTCTTGGGAATGTGTTGGGAAAAGTCAAATTTTTGCTTCTGTCCTCAGAAAGCTTATTATCTAATAGCAACTATTTGCTTCCTGTAATATGTAGCCAGATGGTAATACCAGCTGATGTAGTGTTGGGGAAAAGGGTGGATTTCAGATGGTGATGGCATTTAGTAGACAGTGGGTTGGGTTATTAGACCCATATATGTGGACATGCCTTATTTTTGTTACTCATTGATAAGGGACTGAATATCCCATAAAATAGAGATGTCAAAGATTTGTGATACGTGATTAATTCTGGTTTTCTAAGTTAATAAAGCAGTAAGGATAGATGAAAAGAAATTAAGACAGAATTATTCAGATAATTTGGTTTTTTCTTAAAAAACGTAGGTTTGAATTGAATGTTTAATTCCAAGGCTCTCCATTTATCAGATTCTCATCAACTTCTCTTTCAGCATTAGGCAAGTTGCCAACAGGTAAAGCACCAGCTTATGCTAAGCTTTTGGTGTTTCCTTAGCACTGCTCATTATTTTGTCTCAGCTTCAGTCAAAAACCGAAGATAGAATTAAGTCGAGGAAAGAATCGTAAATGCTTTTCTCCCAGCTCTCCTGGGGACAGGGCTATACTTGGAGCAGAAATTAAATCTGACAATGTCACAAGATGAGTTAGGTGCAAAAAAGGAGGTAACTGTTTCTCAGAGAAATTAAAATAACTGTTACCAAACCAGTTATCATTCTTCCAGTGGCTAATATGTAACTAACGATGGGTAGTGTCTGGAATATTTAAATAATTGCATTTTTCTTTTTTTTATATACTGAAAGGTTTGTTGATGTCTGCCATCACAGTTATCATTCTAGTATTATATTTTGTAATTGATACATTCTGGGTTCAGAAGAGGCAGTGGCTCGCTGAGTGTACACCAATTTACATCCAATATTTTGTGAAGTTCTTCATCATTGGAGTTACGGTTTTAGTGGTAGCTGTACCAGAAGGGCTTCCGCTTGCAGTCACTATCTCCCTGGCTTATTCAGTCAAGGTAAGTAGAAAATAGTTAAGGTGTTATGCTAAGTTTAAAGGCTCAGCTGGTGTAGAAAATGCACATCTGGTTGCTCTTTTCTTTCTGGTCCTGAAAATAGGAGATTTCCATAAACTTACACTGTTTCCTTTAGAAATGCTGTCATCAATTTCCTCCTCTTCCCCCCCAGTTAAAGATCTCTGTACATCGAGACCCACACGTTTCTGGGAGAGCAGCCTTGACACAAAACTGAGCACGACTCTGCTAGGCAGAGTTCTGGCTTAATTTTTCATTTTATGATAGTTAATGTTGTCAAGTCATGTCCCCTGCTCTTTCCCATCTGTCAAATTAAAGTAAGGACGTGTGTCATTTACCTGTGGTACGAGAGCAAAGAGAGTTCACCGGAGTTTGACCTTCTGTGCCTCCTTGTTTCCACCCTTCTGCTCCCATCACTCCACAGCTGAGCCTTCACACGGTAGGCAGACTCATGTTTCTAAGAAATAATTCACATCATATTATTTCCTTGTGTAAAACCCTCCAGTGGCTTCTTAGTGCACTGAGAAGAAAATCCAAGCTCATTACCATAGCCCGCAGGGCCCTGCCCAGGCTGGCTCTTACTTATCTCTGGATGCTCCTCTCCTGCCTCTCCTCTCGTCCGGCCTCACCAGCCTTCCTGCTATTCCTCAAATATCCCAGCCATCTTCTCATCTCAGGGCCCACTTGTTCCTTCCTTTGAATCATTTGCTCGCCTATCTTATTCACATCTCTTCAAATGTTACCTTCTCTGACCACTCAATTTACAGTAGCTCAGTGCTTGTTGTTTTCCAGGTAAAATGCTTGAAAGTAAGCTTCGGTGGCTTTGCTAACTGCTGTTTACCTAAAGTAATAATCTGTTTGAAGATTATTAATTTATTTTTATCAATTTTATTATATGGAAAAGGTATGGATTTTTTTAAAAAAGGTTTAGCTTGGACAATTTTGATCTTTCTTTCAAAATGGCTTTGCAAATAAAATTATACTTAATGGAAGAATGCTGCTCTTGTCAATTGTCTAACGTTAATTAGCAGTTCTCCTAAAGTAGCGTTGCTGACAATGACCAATACAATTAGTCGTAGTTTCTACTCCATTATTATTATCTCCAGTTTTCCCAAGTATTTTACAATAGACCTGTCACGATAAGAGTATTTTTTGCTTTCTGAGTTTATTTTCTTTTCAGGCATTTCACATTTTCCGTTTCAAAAATCAAATGTTAATTGTGTCCAAGTGATGATGAAATACAGAATAATCATCCATTTGTCCTTTTTTTCATGTTTTAAAATATTTAGAAATAATTGAGTTCAACATAAGTTTTAGATGCATTGATCAGTCATTTTACCACTACTGTCATTAGTTCATTTTGAATAGTTATTAATGATACTAATTTTTCAGTTGATCAAAAAGATATAGGCGGGACTGATTTGCATTCCTTTAATGGAAAATGAATAAGAGCATTTTTTTTTATTAAGGTTATGAAAGTTAGCATCCTTGTGAAATTACAGTTGTACATCATTATTAGTCATGTTGTAGGTACACCACTTCACCCCTAGTGCCCTCCCCCCACCCCCCTTTCCCCTCGCAACCACCAATCAGTTCTCCTTGTCTATATGTTAACTACCACCTATGAGTGGAGTCATACAGAGTTCGTCTTTCTCTGTCTGGCTTATTTCACTCAACATAATACCCTCAAGGTCTATCCATGTTGTTGTGAATGGGACGACTTTGTCCTTTTTTATGGCTGAGTAGTATTCCATTGTAAATATATACCACATCTTCTTTATCCAATCATCAGTTGCTGGGCACTTAGGTTGGATCCATGACTTGGCTATTGTGAATAGTGCTGCGATGAACATAGGGGTGCATGGAACTTTTGGAATTGCTGATTTCAGGTTGTTAGGATAGATACCCAGTAGTGGGATGGCTGGGTCATAAGGTATTTCTATTCTTAACTTTTTGAGGAATCTCCATACTGTTTTCCATAGTGGCTGCACCAGTTTGTATTCCCACCAACAGTGTATGAGGGTTCCTTTTTCTCCACAGCCTCTCCAACATTTGTCACTCTTGGTTTTGGATATTTTTGCCAATGAATAAGAGCATTTTAACTACTGTTCTTTAAGCTTTTATTAAATGTTTATTTAACCCAAATTAGTCTTAATGGATCCTCTGTTAGTGTTTTGCAAAATTGAACACATTTTCTTTACTGCAGAACTTCATTCTTTTAATCTTTAATATTGATGCAAGTCACAAGTAATTTGGAAGGTATACATCTTTCTTCACCATATGTATTTCTTCAAGGAACTGGTGTTTTGTGTATCAGTAGTCAGAGAACACACTTTGTAAAGTAACTCTATGTAATTTTTAACCCATTCCACATATGTTTTGAGAATTATCAAGCATTTTAACTTAAATGCCTTTTGATTTTAGTGAAACTAAATGCCTTTTAGTTTTAGTGAAAACTCTTGGTTTTTTAGAAACTATCTTTTTTGTTTTTGTAAATCAGAGGAAGAGATGATCATAAGGAACAGAATACCAAGCATACCAGCATATGGAAAAGATAAAATGACCCATTCTGGGTTTGATGTGTTAATCTATCAGAGTCAAAAAAAAAAAAAAAAATCAGGCAACTACATACATGCCCACAAGCTCTATATTTTAACTGATGAAAGCTTCTTTTTCTTTGGTGATTGATACAAGAATCTTTTGTTTTCCACTTAGTAAGGAGACTTAATCCTTAAATGTGACATACTCTTGCATTGCTATAAGTACCTCTGTACTTAGAGTACAGATCGCCATTGTTCTTGTAATGCAAGGACACTTCGCAGAAGCTGTTGGAGGCATATTGTCAACATGATTTGCTTGTGGTTGCGAGTGTCTATATTCATTTACTAGATTATGTTATGCAGCAGTAAAGTGATTGAAACCACAGAAAGCTAGTACTCTCTTTAGCTTATTTGAATAGGTCAAATACACTAAAATTCTTCCAGTATTAAAATGGTGCTTAAACTATAAGTTTTAATTCTGATTTTAAAGCAGTTTATGCTCATTTTAATGTAATGAGATGATTGGTTTTATATGTAACTTAACTAGATTCTTTTTTTGTCACTGTAGAAAATGATGAAGGATAATAACTTAGTACGGCATCTGGATGCTTGTGAAACCATGGGAAATGCTACAGCTATTTGTTCAGATAAAACAGGAACATTGACAATGAACAGAATGACAGTTGTTCAAGCTTACATAAATGAAAAACATTATAAAAAGGTTCCTGAACCAGAAGCTATTCCACCAAATATTTTGTCCTATCTTGTAACAGGAATTTCTGTGAATTGTGCTTATACATCAAAAATATTGGTAAGGTTTCTTTAATAATTTATATGTGAAAATTAGGTTTTCAGTTTGTAATGATTAGACTGTAGGTAGCTCTTGAGACCTACCGTTACTATATATAAATTGAAGGCACTGGATTGTGTTAAGTTTTTGAAAGGCATACATCCATATAATGTATATAAGTTTTTTTTGCTGCAGTTTGCATTATGAGTAAGGTCTGTTGATCAACATATGCATTCTGTTTACTTTTATTTTTCTTCTCCTATATTTTGAATTTTCTTTGTTTAGAAACTCTCAAGCTTTATAACCAGTACAAGTTCATAACTTTAAATTCTTACTAAGCTCATTTTGTGAAAGACCAGGCTATCTTACTGTAGAAAGTCAACTCTCAATTTTCTGCAGAAAATTTTGAAGCCAGATTTCAACTTAATATGTTTTTTGTATGCTTGCTATATACTCTGTTTGGTTTCTCAGTAGATCCTACCTATAAGGTGATGTTTAGACCTTTTGAAACTAACTCTGTAAAGGAATTCTAGACTTATGCTACCTTAGAATAAAATATTTTGAACTTTGCAAGTTTTACAAGTCTCATTTATAGCATAAAGCGTGAAATTATTTGACTTGATATGTGTTCTAGTGATTTATGGATGAAGACCGTGAACAAAATTAATATTGCAAGTTGTTTAGTGAAAATATGCATGAATTGGATGATTGGAGTGGAAGGTTATGAGATCTTGGTTCTAGATCTAGCTTTGCCTTTTACTAGCTGAAAGTCTGAGCTTTACCTTCTTTAGTTCTTAGGTAAAGATGATCACATCTGCCCTTGATACTGTTATAATGACTGTATAAGGTGGTATTTGTGAAGACACTGTGAGAGAAATAAAGTTTTTATATATTTTTAAGGGAACAGTGCTTTATTTTAATGTATATACTTTTATTTTAAGACATAAAGATTTGTAAAGTAGAGTTAATTTTGAATTATTTAATGTAAACCCGTAGTGAAAATAGGAAGAGACAAGGAAAGGAATTAAAGTTTATTACATCCCACTACATGTCAGGAACCAACTTTAAACATTACATGTCTTATCCCCTTTAATTCTTGGGTCATAAGTGCTCCTGTTTTCCAGATGCTGAAGCCAAGGACCACAGCAGTTGGGTAACTTGCCAAAAGTTCACATAGCTAGTAACTGGCAGGGCTGAGATTGGAATCCATGTCTGTGTTACCCCAGAACTCCTTTCTACCTTACCTTTCTGTGTCCCTCTTTGAAATGCCGATATTAGTAGAAGTTTCCTATATAATTTTGTTTTAGAATGTTGCGTTCTGTTTTACATTATAAATTAAATTGTCATGAAGAAACAAGATGATACTAGCTTCTAAACCTTTTTCTCTTATAGCCACCAGAGAAAGAGGGTGGATTACCTCGTCATGTTGGTAATAAAACTGAATGTGCCTTGTTGGGACTTCTTTTGGATTTAAAACGGGATTATCAGGATGTTAGAAATGAAATACCAGAAGAAGCACTGTACAAAGTCTACACCTTCAATTCTGTTAGGAAGTCCATGAGTACTGTCCTGAAAAATTCAGATGGAAGTTTTCGAATATTCAGCAAGGGTGCATCTGAGATAATTCTGAAAAAGTAAGAGTAAAATGCTTAGATGAATAAATTGCTAACTGTAGTTGCTTTCTGGAATGCCTACTATGCTGTTATTGTTGCTGTGTTCTTCTTTGTGAACCTCAGGCATTTGATAGGACCTCAGTTTTTTTGGTGTATTTTAATGGTGTCCAGATATCTGCCTGTGATGTTCTACCATTTTCATGCTCCAGCTGCTTTTTGTTTCTTAGTATTTTACTGTAGGGAAAAGAAGTTCATTACATTCAGTCTGGTAGATTTAATAAAATTTGTTCTTAGACATGTTGATTCCGTTATTATGTAGGATTATGAAAAATACAAGCATCCCAGGAAGAAAAACGCAAGTTTATATCTTCAGTGCTGCATTGTAGTTAGTGGACTCGAAAATGTGATGAATGAATTATAGATTAGTTTTTAGAATAGCAAAGCACTAAAATTAGATCTTGAGAGTTCTCCTTTTATGTCAGAGTGAGGTTTTATGATATTTATGCTGCTGCACTGTCAAATTTAAATATCTCCTGTCATTTTGAATGATAATCTTCTTTTGTACTGTCCTTATACAGACCAGTAACTTCAATTTTGACATTACATGTTTATGTATAATTTCCCTAATGCTTATGTGTTGTTACAGGTGTTGAAATTATTTTGGTTTCTTTAATTTCAGTAGAGAAGTAGAGAACCTTAAAACACATTTAAGAGCAATTTTAGAAAATTAGAACTCATTTGAAATTGTGACATTTAAAATATTTCTACTTTTAATTTGCTTGTATGTGGATTATGATCCAGTGTTATCTTAATGAACACTTGACAGATTGTCTAACAGGTTTAAGAGATAAGTCTATAAATAAATGAAAATGTAGCATATGACAGACGTGTACAAAGGTTTAGAGTGAGAGATTGTACTGTGAAGGATTTGGCGTTTAAGGTAGGTTTTGTTATGAAGTAAGAACATCAAGGTGTGAAGGAAGCTCTGTCAGGGGAAAGGAGGTGGGGACAGGCAGGCCAGCTGCGGAGAACAGCTAGTCGTAGACTTCAGCTGAGTAGTGATGGCTTTTGTGACGTGTAGGCCATATAGAGCCTTCTTCCCTTCTCAGGATACTTGATTATCTGATTTTAGTGTGAAAGGTTAGAAATCTTGCATCCGTGGCTTGTTGGGTAGCAGATAGATGGTACATGGGGGATTTTTGAATCAAAACTAGTCAGGCTTCGACTCTTCTTTTGCAACTAACTAGCTTTGGGATGTTAGGCAAATTCTTCCTTTAGCTTCCATTTTCCTCCACTGAAAAAGGGGGTGATGACCACCAACTCTGTGGCAGTGAAAGAAAATAATGCATGTAAAGCATCTAGTGTGGAATCTGATAGATAGTGCACAGTAACTATCTCCACAGTGATATTTACTTTTTGTTGTGGAGGCTCTTTTTAAATGTTAGGCTGAGCAGTTAAAACAGTGAAGTAAGCCAGATAATGCAACTGAAGCATTTTTTTCATCAGGTAGAGGAATGATCAGAGTTGCAATTGAACATAAGTCTTGCATCAAGGAATAAGGTGGATTGGGAGGAAAAAAGGATGGACTGGAAACAGTTATCAATTAAAAGGCTATTACAATAGGTCTAGCTCGAAGTCAGAGCCAGAAGAAGGCAGTGTCAGGGGACTGGAAAGGAGAGGAAACATTTAGAACACTGTTGAGAGCACAAATCTATGGAACTTAGGAGCTACTACTAGCTAGACGATGAGGAAAAAGTAAGTCATTCAAGTGAGATTTTAGACGTACGTTGACATTGTTGGGAGTGATATGGATGTCCGTTAGATTGGCAGTGAGGAGGCAGTTTTTCGTCTTACGTGCAGTGAGTTTAAGGTCCTGGTGCAACATCCGAGTGGAACTCTTCAGCAGTAATGGAAAGCTGCTGAAAACTGTCAGAACAGAGAAGACGTGGATTTGAGAATCACCTGCCTAGAAGCAGGAGGAGGTGGCATCACCAAGGGAGAAGAGCAGAGAGACAAGTGTGGAGAAAATAAACTTTAAATAGGGAAGTACACAGTGTAACTTGATTCACTACATAGTGAAAAGGTTGTAGTTAGTTTCACTGAAAATAAAACTATTTTGGCATTATCTCTCTCATTCTAATAGAATACTTATTTTAACAATAAGTTACTTTTTTTCTTTCATAGTTAAAACAGTATAGGTGATGAAACAGCATCTCAGGTAAGGAGTTGATTGGGTTTGGCTTTTTAATTTGAAAGAAGAAAATATGTGTGAATTTTGTGTTAATTAAAATTAATGTCTCATTCTTTACCAAAATGGACAGGTGTATAGTTTACGCTCCTCTGCCCTAGGGGTTCTTTGTGAAAATGTAAATTACTCTGCATTTCCAGAAGATTAGGTTTAGAGAATGTCTAGAGTAACTGCTAAAGTGGAGAATTATGAACTGAGAACTATCTGTTTTTAAATGAGTGAAAAGTGAATATGATTTGAGTGTATAAAAATGCAGTATATTTAATTCTCTAAATTCCAGATATCAGATCCCATGATTTCTAGCCCTTCCAGTTCACTTAAATGGCATTAACCATTATTTTTGTTAATTATTGATATTTGGATTCAACATTTCCTTTTAGGTGTTTCAAAATCTTGAGTGCTAATGGTGAGGCAAAAGTATTCAGACCAAGGGACCGTGATGATATTGTAAAAACTGTGATTGAACCGATGGCATCAGAAGGCTTGAGAACCATATGTCTTGCATTCAGAGATTTCCCAGCAGGAGAACCAGAACCAGAGTGGGATAATGAAAATGATATTGTCACCGGCCTTACATGCATTGCTGTTGTGGGGATTGAAGATCCTGTGAGACCTGAGGTGGTGAAACGTTCTGTGTTCTGCATGTGCAGAATCTCCTAACTATAGAGGGTCTAGGCACTAGCTGTAACCAGTTTTCTAGTAAAATTCTCAGTGTTTCTAATTTTATTATTTTCTGTGTGAACCCAAGATAAGTATTACAAGGGCTGTTATTTCACTTATCTCTATGGTTTTTGATTAGACAGCTTCTCTTTGGGATCCCATGTGTTTATAGTACCATAACCTAGCACAGTGCCGTGAGCTGGGTAGGTTTTTCAGTTGGTATTTATATTACATTAAATAATGAATGCCATTAAGTTATTTGTTTTCATGGTCTCAGGACCAGCACTGTCCAATAGAACTTTCTGTGATGACAGAAATGTTCTTTATGTTCAGTACAGTAGCCAGTAGCTACATATGACTACTGAGTTCTTGACGGGTGGCTAGTGCAACAGAAAAACTGAATTTTTAATTTAATTTAACTTAAATTTAAATATCTTGCTACTATGTTAGACAGCCTATAGTTGTAGAGGTTTTTGGTTGTTTTCTAGTTTAGTTGAGCAGCTCCTGTGTGCCAGGCACTATACTAGGGTACTAGAGACATAAAGGGTTTTGAGATCTGGTTCCTGGCCTGAAAGAAGTCACTGTCCTGGGTGGGGATGGACAAACACGTGGTAGTTATAACCCAGGATGTTAGTACATTGTCAGATACATACAGAGCATGTTTTATGTGCACAGAACATGAGCCCCCAACCTAGTGTAAAGTACAGAATCTTTTTATTGAATCCTTACTGTGTGCCAGATTCTATGCCAAGTGCTTTACGTGTATTATTCATTTAGCATTCATCTCTATGAGTGATGAGTATTAATACTCTCATTTGACAGACGAAAAAAAAATTGAGTTGTATGGAGGTTAGCTCTAGACCGTAGAGCACGTGTGTTCAAATCCTGGCTCTGTCTAAAACACACGTGCTTAAAAGCCCACTATGCTACATTAACCACTGGAGGGGTAAGTAAGACTTCCTAAAGGTTAATTACCTGATGGAGTCTTAAAGGCTGAGGAGGAATTAGCTAGAGCAAGAGAGAGAGCGGTAAGCACATTCTGAGCAAAGACGCGACATAAACAAAAGGACAAAGACAAAAACAGCTTCTGTTTGGTGACTATTGACTAATTGATTCAACACCCAATGTGTGGTACCAGGCACTCTTCTAGGGACTGCAAATACTACAGAACAAAATGTCGAGGAATTTATATTCTAGAGAAGTAAGATACCCAAACAGAAAAAAATGATAGGTACACAGGCAGTATGCCAAGTGAGAACACATTCTGTGAGGACTAAGACTTGGTCCCTGCCCTGATGGGCCTTATGCTCCGGATGGCATGTGGGGGATGTAACATCAGGTAAGACAAGTACGGGTGTGATAAGAGCTATAAGGATATGCACAGGGTGATGAAATAAGGTAACTGAGAGAGACCACATTAAGAATCTCTGAGGATATGACATTTGAGCCGAGGTCTGATGGCTGAAAGTGAGCCATAGCTGCAAGAAGAGTGTTCCAGGCAAATGAAACAAAAAATGCAGAGCCTGAACTTGAGAAAGTATTTAGCTATTTCACAGATGGAAAGGAGGCCGCTGTGCTCATAAGTGTGGGCAAGAAGGGACAGATGAGATTATCTTTGGCCTTGCTAGCAATAAGGGCTCTGAATTTTGTTCTGAAATTCAGTGGGAAGTGATAAAAAAAAATGCAGGCTAGGAAGTGACATGATTCATGTTGTTACAATACTAGTATTGGGGGTAGGGTATAAGAAATCAGAGAGAAAGAAGAGTAAAAGCAGAGAAGCCAGTAAGATGATGGCAGTGTGATCCCCAGGCAAGAGATGATCATGGGCTGGAACTCCAGCTGTGGCAGGGAGGATGGAAAGAAGGGGATGATTTCAAAATAAATGAAGATACCGATAAGAATGAGTACGCTGGGTTAATACATTGTTTTTGACATTGTTGAGGTGTCTGAAACATCCAGGTATATTCAAGTAGGCTTTTGGACCTGGGAGCCTGAGAGTGGTGTAGGCTGGAGAATTCACCTACGAGGCTAAAGGAGATCTCCCCAGGAAAGCATATAGAGAAGAGGGCTGAGGATGGAAACATTTCCACAATTAGACGTCTTATAGAGGAGGGGGAGTCAGTCTCTACCTTGCCTAACTGGGTGGGTAGTAGATGGTATTACCAATGTAATAAGAGAAGCAGGAGAAGCAGCCTATTTAGAGATCAAGATAAATTCACTGTTGGATTGTGGCATTTCGAATGCCTGTAAAACATCCAGGTGGATAATATTTGCCAAGCTTTGGTCAAAGGAAACCATTCAAAGTTTTATACATTGACTTATGGCTTAAATCTTTTCTAAATATAATATTAAATCAGCATGTCTGCCACTTTTGTCCTTTGGAAAACGTATTGCTATGGTTGTGCTCTTGGCATTGAGGTTGACGGGGAGTTTTATCTTTTTTTAAACATGTAAGTGGCACTTTATTTTTTCAGTGTCACAAAGTGAGATGGGTACTTTTATACTAAAGTGAGACAGTGTGATATGAAACAGCTTTCTCTGAGTGGGTGTTCTGAACTATGTAGTTCTGGTGTATAAAACCTTGATTAACTAGCTGGAGTAAGTCCAGCTTGTTGCATATGCATAGGTGCTTTAACAAGATATTTGGCTTCTCTCCTGTTTCTTATCTGTAAAAGTAGAGGTAGTTTGTGAATTTTAAGTGGGAGTATTTGGTGGTTAGTCGGCAATTAATAAATGTTAGTTTGGCTTTCTTTTATTTGTTATATAATTTTCACCTGAGACCAGTTTCTCCCTCTTTTCCGTTCTCCTATTCCAGATGATCTCGAGATACCACCCAATCATTGAGTGCTTAGATGGGCAAATTTGGGGTACATTTTATCTCAAATGAGATACCAGAATGTATATTACGTTTATATAGCCAACTAGTGTTTTCAAAATCAAATACTGATTTTTGTTGTTAAATAATAATCTGAGCAGGTTCTGTCCTTGCGCTCGCCTCTGTGTCCCTAGCACCTAGCATAGTGCCTGGCATTCAGTACGTGTTCATTTGAGGGAAGGCATATGATGTTCCCCTTCAATGATTTGAACGACTAAGAGTTGACAAGGTGAAAGGAAGTACTTCTACAATGTAAATCTTAAAACAGATAGATACATTCAGTAGTCCAGCAAACACTAATCTCCGGTTATAGGCCAGGCACTTATTTGTTAAATGACTGAAAGGCATTGTACTAAGCATTGGTGATGCAAAGATGAGGGTTCTACCTGTAGGAAGCTCACTGACCTGCTGAAAACTCAGGTAAACAAATAACTGCAATATGATGTCATGAGCTGTGGTAGAAGTGTGTATAATATGAAGCCATAAGTCTGACTAGGGGAAGCCATGACCACTCCCAGAGACGTTACATTGAAATTCTGTTTACCGTAAAAGTCACAAACAGGCAGTCTGCAGGCCAGATTTATCTTTGGACCGTGTGTGTGTGTGTGTGTCTCTATTTAAAACATGAAGTATTGAGAGAGTGCATACAAATCCAGATTTCTACTCTCTCTTGAAATGGTAGGTTCTGTCAACACTGGGTGCGCGTTCCACCACGGTAAAAACAGGCTAGAGCGAAATAGCTCTTTCCTTAGGCATTCATGTCGCATTGTCACTTTCAGTTCGTTTTCCTCATCCGTGTTCCCTGCGTGGCCCTGCAGGCTTTTGCATTTGCAGCCTCTGCTGTAGTAAGATCAGTATGGATTTTCTGGTTAGAGAAGAGTAGGAAAGGATTTTCTAGGCAAAGGGAACTGCGGAAGCAGAGGCACAGAAATAATATATAGATATTCATCTGTCAAGTTGTGTATAGTACAGAAAAATTTTAGATAAATCTGGAAAACTATTGTGAGGCTCAAATGTGATACTCTGTTATGTGAGAACTTTCTGGTTTATAGTTTAACAATTGAGGAATCATACATTGTTAAGAAAGTGTATTAGAAAAATAACTCTAGATGCTGGCCTGCGCTGAGTGGTTAAGGTTCTGCATGCTCCACTTTGGCAGCCCGGGTTCATGGGTTTGGATCCTGGAGGTGGACCTACACCACTTGTCAGCCATGCTGTGGAAGCATCCCATATACAAAGTAGAGGCAGATTGCCGCAGATGTTAGCTCAGGGCTAATCTTCCTCAAGCAAAAAAGAGGAGAATTGGCAGTGGATGTTAGCTAAGGGCAAATCTTCCTCACCAAAAAAAAAAGAAAAAAGAAAAGAAAAAGAAAAGAAAAAGAATTCTATCGCCAGATATATCAGGTGTTTTAAAAGACAGACAAACACATAGATAGGGATACCCATTAAAAAGCTCTTACACTAGCTCAGGCAACAAGCAGTAGGGGCACGGTGCAGGGACGCTTTGAGATAGAACCCCCAGGACTCATTGGCCCTTAAGGATGTGTCGGGTAAGGGAGATGGAAGAGGTCAGATGACCTTTAGGTTCTCTTAGATAGGTAGGTTTAGAAAACGTGGTCTCCAGATTCTGGTGTCCACCTTTCTGGTGGAACTAGGAATCCGGCTCTCACAGTGAGCTGGGACAGTGAGGTAGATGTGAAAGTTATTAGCACACAGATGGTAGTTGAAGGTACAAGAGTAGGTGAGGTAACCCTTAAAAAAGTGAGCCGACCCTAATCCTAAAGAACACCAACATTTCACTCTGGTGTGGTCTGAGCGATAAAACCAGAAAGGTAGAAAGCCAACCAGAAAAGAATTGCCTAGTGGTTGCTACGGGGGAAAGGTGCTTTAAAAAGCCTTTGATAAATAAATAATGCAAACAAATTAAGTAGGATAACTGAAAATGAAGCCTGAACTAGGACTGTGGCTGTGGAAGAGGAGAGAAGAGATTATTGGGAGTAATTCAAGAAATAGTGACTATCTTGAGATGAAATTAAAATTATCATTATTTCTGGGCCTATGGAGTAATGCTATTTGTTCAGTGGGATTTTTCTCTTCTGGAAATGCTACTTTTCCTCGATAAGATGAATGTTTTTCCATGTAAACCAGGTACCAGATGCAATAAAGAAATGTCAGAGGGCTGGAATTACTGTGCGGATGGTCACTGGTGATAATATTAATACTGCCCGGGCTATTGCTACCAAGTGTGGCATTTTACATCCTGGGGAAGATTTCCTGTGCCTAGAAGGTAAAGATTTCAATAGAAGAATACGAAATGAAAAAGGAGAGGTAAGGTTTTTTTTATTTTTTAAGTTGCTATGTTTTTAATATATTAGGAATTACATTCAACAAATACATATTGAATGTGCACTGTGTGTTAGGCATCGCACATGAATAAATGCAGCCCGCACCTCAAGAAGCAAAATACTAACATTTTAGGAAATAAAAGGAATAAGGGATAAAGAAATTTGCCCTAAAGGAAGTGAACACTTCTCTTTTTCAGTCTAGGCCAGTTTCAGAATTACAACGTGTCAGGGAGTAATGGGAGATGAGTGTGGAAAGGTTCGTGTGGAGTGTATTTTAGGGGACCCCAAACTCTGAGCTTTTTGTGCTAAAGTAAGGAGTTTCCATTTTCATAGCAGGGAGATTTTTAAAATTTGATCTTATAATAGTATGTATAGCAGTGGTTCTAAAACTAGTGTATGCATCAGAGTGACTACCTGGAGAGCTTTTGAAAGCCTTGATTGCTAGCTCCCGGCCACCCCCCACACCCACCCCAGTGTTTGGATAAGATAAGCTTAGGGCCTTGCTCAAGAATTTGCTCCTGTCACAAGTTCTCGGGAATTGGTGATGCTGCAGGTCTGTTAGCCACACTTTGAGCATCACTGATATATACGCTAGATAACTAATTTTGAATTGTGAAACCAGGTATCAGCACATTTTAACTTTGACAAAAATTTATAGATTGAGCAAGAGCGGATAGACAAGATTTGGCCAAAGCTTCGAGTACTTGCGAGATCATCTCCTACTGATAAACATACACTGGTTAAAGGTAAGCAGATTTTACAATTATTTCACAGTTTCTTAATACAGAAATAATAATAGATTGCTTCCTAAAATGGTAATTCTGCTTCCTAAAATAGTAATCGGTACTGAATATCAGATTCTATCATGGATATCATCTTTTCCAATAAAATCTAAATACATTTCCTCTTGATACCTTAGGTGAATTGTGTTATCTTCAGGAAGTAAAACAGGATATTGCTCCTCGTGTACCTTAGTTTCTGGAGTTGGTCTTTGCCCAACATCTCAGCAGTTTCCATTTCTCTCTGTTTGTTGAATTATTTATTTTTACTCTTGAGTCTCTAAAACTGGCTAGTCAGGATATTCTGCAGAATCACTGTATTAATTCAAGGAACTATTTCTACTGCACAAATATTTACTTTTATTTCAGGTATAATTGACAGCACTGTCTCAGAACAACGTCAGGTTGTAGCTGTAACTGGTGATGGTACAAATGATGGCCCAGCACTAAAGAAAGCGGATGTTGGGTTTGCAATGGTAGGAACTTACCTATTCTAGTATTCGGATCTAATTTACTGGTTTGGTTTTTTTGTCTGTTTGCTTTGTTTATTATTAAATTGCTATTGATTTTAAACACTGTACCTCAAGATTAGTTTGAGGGATAATATATAAGCCTAAATTGGTTTATAAATCTAATTAGTTTATACACTACCTTTATTTGATGCAATGAAATCTGGCTGGAAGATGACTTCTTTTGAACAATTATAAGATCATACATGTATCTTGTACTCTGTAAAATGTATAAATGTCTTTTATCTCATCTGAGCCTTACAACAATCCTCATAAGTAGGAGACAGGCTTAGAACACTTCTGTATTTAAATTATAATATAATTGAGAATCTTGCAAACTGAAAATGTCTCTTAAGAGTAACTGAATGTCATCATTTCATATATAATGGATGTAATCTTTTTCTTTCTTTCTTTCTTTTGTTTTGGTGAGGAAGATTGGCCCTAAGCTAATATCTGTTGGCAGTCTTCCTCTTTTTGCTTGAGGAAGATTGTCACTGAGCTAACATCTGTGCCAATCTTCCTCTATTTTTTGTATGGGGGATGATGCCACAGAATGGCTTGATGAGCAGTGTGTAGGTCCGTGCTGGGATCCAAGCCCACGAACCCTGGGCTGCCAAAGCAGAGCATGCAAACATAACCACTATGCGACTGGGTTGGCCCTGGATGTAATCTTTTTTGGTTGAAAAAAATCTACTTTATTCCCTCCAAGTCCTCAATTTAGATATGATTATTTGAAGTGCCAGAAAATTTCAGGATTTCATTATTATTTTCTCATACTGTAGCCATAGTACTGATGAAATGCTGTAAAAAGGATATCATGAAATACATATGCTACATAAGTGTTTAAGATTGACATTAGGTTGTTATATCTTTGAATCACTTTCTTTCAGTTTTTCAGCGTTGGAATGAATCTTTGTACCTTCAGTGCCATAGAAAATTTAAGTAGTTTATTTAATTTTGATTTTATGGCATTTTTGGAAAATACGGGTCCTTAATCACAATTCCCAAATCCAGAAATCTGAAAACTGAAATTTCCTTCCTAAATTTGCAGCAGACTCATTTGATTGCAGAAGTTACTCTGAACTGATGTGAGGATGGTATTCGTCCTACTTAATATGGCCATTCATAGCCATTGTGGAGATATTAATGTGTTTTGGGGGGGTACTAACACCATCTGGGTGAATCTGTGATAGAAGTATGTGCCTCATTATCTTTCTAAAATATGAGAGACTTTAAATTTGGAAACACAATCTGGCCTCAAAGGTTTCAGATAAGAGAGTATTTATGTGTACCAATGTTCATTTGCATAATTTGTCTCTCTGGTATTTTGCTGCTAAAATAGGGGTTTAGCAGAACCACCGCCATGGTGGCCGCCTTTCAACAGGAGTGAGGGAGGTGGAAAAAGGACGTTACATGGATAAACTGCTCCCAAGCGATCACTGTCAACCCAAAGACCCCCAACCCGAGTTATCCCAAACTTAGTACAGTTGGCAGCACCTTGGTCTGGCCTTCTGAAGACCTGTGAAGAGGGGCTGGGGGGTAAGGACTATGTCAGCAGGTCCCGTGGCTGTAGGCACACAGGAGCATTCGGCTCAGGAATGTAGCGTCACTCACTGCTGCTTTTGAGCGTTTAGCAGGATTCTTACTGCTACTTTCATCTGGACAGCTGACCTGGAAGGCATTTACGTACAGGTGCATTTTAAAGTAAAAAAAGAAATTCTTCCCCAAACTTAGGTGTTTAGGGTAGACTAAGGGCTTTAAATAAATACAGCTAAGTAGAGTAGTGCAGACAAAAACACACACAGTGGCTGCTTGTTTGATTTTTAAAGCCCTCAAGGCGTTAGGTCCACTGTACCACTTTTTTTTTAAGGTAGTGCATCACAACCTCTAAATGTGTTTTCAAAACATAGAGAAAGAGTAAGTGCCGAGTGGCTTGGACTTGAAAGCACTCTTCCTCGAGCTGGAATTTACTTTGTATATTTGTTCAGTTCTTCAATTTCATATTTTAAAACTGAAAGACAAAATTATTTGTCTTGGGCGTTTATTAGATGCCCACAAGAAATTGCTATTGATTAATTCTTTCTAAACTTTTCTATTATTTTTTTGGCAGAAATAGCATTTTAGAACACTGATTTATCTGTCTATATACTCTCTCTCTCTTGCTATATATACTGTAAATAGACATAGTTTATTTAGCAAATTCAACATTCAAATAAAATTTACAGCAATAAAATAAGATTTACAGAAGGACTCTAATGTGAGTACATTATTAGCTTGCAAAGAGGTCTGGCATTTTCCCCTATTTAGCCACTCCTCTTAGAATTCTTTTAGTTAGCAAGCATCCATGGTACTTTTAAAATATGATTACATTTTTATTGTGTTACGTTATTCTCACCAAAATTCAGTTAACCACATTTACAGGTATTTCTGTCATCAAAGACTGAATGTCATGATGTATTTCTATGGCCAAATACATCTGTGGTGGTAAAATCTTCCCTAAGGAAATTAAAATGCTGTCTTTTAAAACTTTGGATTAATAAGGGATTCATTTGTTTACTCTCCAAACATTAAGAAGCTGTTCTCAGTGTTCTGGTCCAGAAGCGTGAGAGGTGAGTAGTGGCTGCCTCCTAAAGCTTCAGCACACAAGGAAATCAATAATCAGAGCATAGTGGCAGCTGGTGAAGGACCAAACGCAGCTCACTGAGTGCCTCAGGGGACAAGTCCTTGACTTCGCCCCTAGAGACTAGGAAAGGTTTTCTGCAGAAGGTGCCATTTGAACTGAGGGAGGGAGAAGCTCGTTTCGTGAATTACAGTGGTTTAACATTAACAAGAAGGGGGTGTGGTGTCGGTGCACAATGGGGTGTGAAGCAGGGAGAATTGACAGGGGGCCTCCTGAAGAGGGCCTTGAATGCCAGGATGAGGAATTTGTGCTTGCTTCCTGTGGATCAGCGCTTCCCAAGCACACTTCTGATGGAGTAAAATTAGTTTGGAGACTCACCCTGCATGTTATCAGACAGCTCGGAGAAGCTCATGAAAAAGCTGTTTAACTTTCTTTAAGGATTGTGAACAAGGGAGTGATGAGATTTGCATTTGTAAAAGACAGGGAATGATTAGAGAGGGAAACATGTTGGGCTTAGATGTGTTAAATGTGTTGCACATTGAAAGTAAAATATTCACATTACAAGCTGGAGGCTCAACTTTTAAATTAAGATTGCTCTTTCATTGAATATTTTGAGAAACGCTTGATTTGAACTTTATTTTTGTGTTTATCAAAGCAATATATGCATAGCATTTAAAAAGACAAATTGGGGGCCCCCGGTGGTGTAGCAGCTAAGTTAGCACGCTCTGCTTTGGTGGCCCAGGGTTCGCCCATTTGGATCCGGGACGAGACCTATCACCACTCATCATGCCATGCTGTGTGGCAGGCGTCCCACGCATAAAGTAGAGGAAGATGAGCACGGATGTTAGCTCAGGGCCAATCTTCCCAAGCAAAAAGAGGAGAATTGGTGGTAGATGTTAGCTCAGGACTAATCTTCCTAAAAAAAAAAAAAAAAAGACAAATAGTTCTATAAGACTTCATACCTAAGTCCCTTACCACATGTCATTTCTTCCAGCACGTTTTTTGACTAAAGGGAAACAACTATTTTAGCTGTTTGTTTTCCTTAGTTGTTTGCCTCCCTGTATCTAAATGGTATGATCATAATGTGCTTTTTGATTTTTTTAATATAAAGCATTGCTGTTGACTTTTCATTAAGGAAGATAAGGATTTAGCAGTTTCCCACAGGCACACGTGTGCATTCATACACACTACCTAGCCTGTCATTATTCTGGCAGAGTTATATCATAATTTTGGATAGGTCAATATACAGTCCTTGTTGTGATGGTAAATGCTGTTCCAGGCTGAGCCATGTGGTCTACTATAATTACTTTCACTTTTTACTTCCTTGCAAAACTTTTTGTATTCCCTTTAAATTCTTCTTCATTCTCTTTCTTAATTAAAAAAAAAAAAAAATTTTTTTTTTTTTTGCTTAGTTTTTTTATGTACTTAACACTGATTTAGCGTCAGATTCTCCTTTCGTGTGTCAGAAATGTCTGGCACTTTGACCAGTTTCGCCTTTTTAGAGATGTGTCTCCCACATCTCCGATATGCTGAGTCTGAATTGGCTGTTTGCTGGGCCTGCTCCACAGCTGTCTTGTTTTCCTCTATTCCTGAGGATTTCCTTTACCCGTCTCTTATGTTGCATCTTGTATTTCCTGGATTTGATGTCATCCTCTTTTTTGGTTTGCTCCCTCTCGTGGGTAGAGCCATCTCTTCCAGTACTTCTGAGAAAATGGGTTTGTGAGAGTTAAACTTTTTCGTAATGTTTATGACTGAAATCTCCAACCTCTCCTCACTCTTGATCCTTAATATGACTTAGTATAAAAATCTAGGTTGAAAATCATTTTCACTCAGAATTTTGAATTGATTTCTCCACAGTCATTACATACCATTTTGAATTTTGACCTTCCTGTTTCTTTTCCTTTCTGGAGGTATATGTCTTTCCTCTTTGTTTTCAGTCCTCTGAAATTTCATGATTGTTTGTCTTAGAGTAGCTTTTTACTATGAAAACTCATTTTCGTCAGTTTTGTGACATTTTCGTAAACTGGTCTTATTTCCTCTCCACTGTTTCTTCTTGGTGGATTACTCCCCGTGATTTTGGACTTAGCTCATTATCTTCTCTTTTTTCCTGTTTACCGTTCCTTTGTCATCTTGCTTTATTTTCAGGATATTTTCTCAACTTGTTTTTCATTTCTGTTGTCGTATATTTAACTTTCAAGACTTGTTTTTTGGATCTCTGAGTCTTCCTTCATATTTAACATCCTGTTCTTTCATCGATGCACCTTCTCTCTTGCTAAGGATTTGATTTTTTTAAATAAGCTCTTGTCTCTGCAAAGTCTGTCCCCCGTTGTGCCTTTTGGTTGAGTCTGTCTTTCAGGTTAGCGCCTTCCTCAGAGGTCAGGGGACTCTGGTTGTCTCTGCATGCTGACAGTGGAAAGCTGGAAAGCTTTGGGCCTGCAGGAGGGATTTGTCAACCAGAAGCTTCTCAGTAAAGTGTCTGGCTTGTCCATTTCACTTCCTTAGGGAAACTTTATGCAGTATTTTTAGGTCTTTTCTCTTGAAATGATCAGCTTTCCCAGAAAAGAATCTTCAAATCTGCTGCCTAGAGGGCAATCCTGAGTCCTGGTATTCTGGGAAACAAGTGGCGAAAGAAGGGCAGTGGTCTCAACCTTATCAGCGAGAGTTACTGTTAACCCCTTCTTTGTCGGTATAGCACCTCTCCACGCAGCAGTGCTTCGTACCCTTCAGTCTAGACATTCCTGTCACACCCTCTCTAGTAAATTGGCAGGCAGTCTGCAAGGTCAGGGGAGGCACCAGATTGCCTGGTTGCATGGACTTGGGAAGGGGCTCTGAGGATCTAGCTGCCTTTGCTCTTAATTTTGTTACTAACATAACACACGTACAGAAAAGTGCTGAAGTCATAAGCATACAACTGAATGGGTTATTACAAGTGAACAGACCTGTTCTATGCAGGGCAAGAAATAGGATATTACTAATACCCCCAGACGCCCCAATCATGCTCAATTCTAATTACTGCCCTCTCTCTCTACAAAAATAACCAGTATCCTGAAGATTACTCTCTATTAGACATTATTTTGAGTCCAGCTTCCTTTATTCATTATGCTCATGAGATTCATTTATGTTGCTTTTTATAGCTGTAGTTCACTCATTAATCCACAATTTATTAATCCATCACGTTTTATTGTTGGTAGACAATTTTGTTTTTAGGGTTGGACCTTCTGAGTACTTCTTCAGTAGATTTTCAAGAAATCCTCTTGTTTTTAATTCCACCTGCACCCCTATATCCAGGGCTACCTGGTGCTGCCAAGTCCTGAGCCTTGCATAGGAGAGTTCTGTGCAAAAACAGCCACGTTCCCGACCGCTGGCTTAGGAATCGGCTTTCTGCGGTCTGCTAGGTTACTGTTTGGTTATCTGCTTTCTAGCCTCTAAAGGTTTCTTGCAGCATTTCCTTTCCCACTAACTTTGTCCTTGTGGGTTTTTATTTTTTCATATATCGTTTTCTGTGACTTTCGGAAGGAACTTCGGTAATGCCTTCGTCCATTACTCTGTTTTTAACCCAATTTGAACTTCATTTTCGATGCCTCCTTCTTTATGTCTGATTTCTACTCAGGTAGAATGTTTTTCTGAGAGATAGTATCTTAGCATAACGCTATCACCTTCTTTTACAATAAATTTGTCAATAATTATTAAATGTAATAGTAAATTTTTGTTTATTAATTATACATTATCCTTTCAAATATTTGAAAGTTACATTTTAAACGTTGGTCTAATTCACAGAATTTTTTTTGATAGGGTATCGCTGGAACTGACGTCGCTAAAGAGGCATCTGATATTATTCTCACAGATGACAACTTTACAAGCATTGTTAAAGCAGTTATGTGGGGACGAAATGTTTACGACAGCATCTCCAAATTCCTTCAGTTCCAGCTGACTGTGAACGTTGTGGCCGTGATCGTCGCCTTCACGGGCGCGTGCATCACCCAAGTAGGTGGACAATTTGTTCATTAAAACTTGTTTATTTTAAAGGAAAAAAATATGTATAATCTGCCTTTTTAAAGTACATAAATATTTAAGCTGAAGCTTAATATTTTAGGTTAACTTATATAAAAATATAATCCTGTTCTGTTCTTGAAGTTTTTAAATACAAAAGGCTTCCTGAAAATTGCCGAGTCCCTGAATAGTTGTGGGATGTCTATTAGGAAACGTCTCTTTTCTAGGATTCACCACTTAAGGCTGTGCAGATGCTGTGGGTAAACCTCATAATGGATACACTCGCTTCCCTGGCTCTGGCAACTGAGCCCCCCACGGAGTCCCTCTTGCTTCGGAAACCTTACGGTAGAAACAAGCCTCTCATCTCACGCACAATGATGAAGAATATTTTGGGCCATGCATTCTATCAACTTGTCGTCGTCTTTACACTCTTGTTTGCTGGTAAGAATTCAACACCTGATGAAGCTTCACTTGTTTCCGTTCCAAGCTCATATCCCAGATGTTTTAATGTTACAAATTTTTCAAGAACATAAGTTGTTCTGTTTCTGGCTCCCCATCTATCTTTTGTTTTTCCTCTATCAGTGATGCTTAGTAAGTTGTGGGAGGCAGTAGGTTAGATGGTGGGGGAAGTAAAGAGAGTCCTGATTTCTTGTCCTGGTTCTGCCACTACTTAGAGATGGGATCTTGAGCTTGTCGCCATAGTTCACTTTTCTCATCTATGAACAAAATAGTTGTTCTTGCTAACCCCCAGGTCCCTCCCAGCTTTGCTGTGCCATCATTTAAGATCAAATAAAGGTCTGACTGCGTTTTATTATTGCATACTTCCTTGAAATGTTAACTTATTTTGTATGATAATTACAAAACAGTAATTTTTCATTCTTTCAGGAGAAAAGTTTTTTGATATTGATAGCGGAAGAAATGCTCCTTTGCATGCTCCTCCTTCGGAACATTATACTATTGTTTTTAATACATTTGTACTGATGCAACTTTTCAACGAAATAAATGCCCGGAAAATTCACGGTGAAAGAAATGTGTTTGAAGGAATCTTTAATAATGCCATCTTCTGCACAATTGTTTTAGGCACTTTTGTGGTACAGGTGGGTAATTGTAAAAGATAGTTTCAAATCTGATTATGTGGGAGACATTAGGTAAACAGGTGGCTTGTTCCAGAAATTACTTGACTGCAATGTGTGGAGTTTCTGTGTATTGCCTTGATGACATCAAAAAAGAGTTTTAAATCATAACTCGAGTGAAAATTGGCCCTAGCCTGAAACTCTGTGTGTGACAAGAGTATATGAAGCTAGTCCCGCTTTCATTGCACTGGTCCTCTGGTCGTGATGCTTCGCCCCCTGCTCTGGTTCTGATTGTTCGTTCTACGTCATTATCATGAAAACTGCTAGAATTCTTATGTAATTTAAGGTAAATCTTACAGTTTACCACTTACTAGTTTAGCTAGAGTGATCACTTCATTGCTTCTAGCCATTAATAGCAGTTGTATTTCTACACTTGTTTACTTTTAAATAATAAAAGTTTTGAAATGAATATTTTAAAATCTCTGTGATTCCGAATGACTGCTTCCTCAGTTGGTACATGACTTTTTATTGTTCTCTTCTTAAAGATTGGCACCTGAGCTAATGTCTTTCTCTGCCAGTCTTTCTTTTTTTTCCTTTGTCTCCCCAAAGCACCCCAGTACATAGTTGTATGTCCCAGTTGTGAGTGCCTCTGGTTGTGCTATGGCTTGAACAGTTCCCTGTCCGTACCCAGGATCCGAACCGGCGAAACCCTGGGCCGCCAAAGTGGAGGGCACAAACTTACCCACTCGGCCATAGAGCCGGCCCCATGCCATTTTTCAATTTTGTAATATTGTCGAAGCAAGGCAGAAAAGAAAGTAGAAAGTGAGGTTGAGATTAAATAGGGAGGACCAAAAACTTTCCCACTTTTTAGAGGTCATTCTAAGAACAAAACTGAGGATCACTTTGCATATGGTGATTTTTTTATACAACTGTGTATTACACCTGTGTTTTTATGTCATCTTGGATTCTGTGGTGCTCTTCCATGTAAGTGATTGTTAATAGTAGAATCTGGAATCAAAACAGGTAAGTGAATGATGCATGATCACACCAGAAAGTCAGTAAACACAGTAAAATTTAAAATTAAAAAGTGAGTTTTTTCAACAATGGAATTGGAGTAATGATGGTGCTTGTTTTGAAATGATGATCCAAGAGTTTAAAACAGTTTGTTCATCCTCTTCCTTGTTCACTGTGGATACTGAAACCCAAAACCCTAGACTTAATTATTTCTGTAAAAACTGTTTCTGTTTTAGCTTTCAATTTCTGTAATTCTTAGGGGAAACGTTGCTTACTTGCGATGTAGTTTCTGGAAGTATTTAGATTTTATAAAAACCATTGTTCATGGCATGCTAAAATTTTAGTTTTTACTTGTTTATGAAATTAGAGTTATTTTATCTGTTTTTAATATAGGAGAATTGCAGAGATTTAACTGCCCCTCTCTATCAAGCAAATCCAGTAAGTTAGTTCCCAACAAAGGTTGATACACCCCAGACAGATCATGTGAGGTGTCATTCTTCAGTGCCTTGTAAATAAGCCAGTGCTGCACCAAGGGTGGTCTGCAGACCAACCACTGGTCTGTTTGTTCCAAGTGCACAGTGAGGTAACTAGCCTGTGCCTTCCCGCCTCCCTGTGTTTCCTCTGGGGTTGGTGTGTTTCGTTTCTGTTGGGTAGTAGGGGTGGTAGCAGTGCTGTGCAGACTGTGTGTCAGCTTGCACTCTGGCGCCTGTTCCTCATCCTCTTAGGGTGGCTCAGCACCTTGAATAGCACTTTTGTAGACAGTCAGCTGGGTAGGAAAGCATGACCCTTCATTTACACATAGCTCATTTTGTTTGTTTCTGAAACAGTGTAGCCAGAGTCTTGATTATAAATCTGAGGTCCCTGAAGGGCTTCACCTTATACATTGTATTAAATTTAATTTGTCTCTTTTATTTACTAGCTGATTCTCATTCTTCACTTTTTTTTGACTGATCATGAAGTATATAATAATCCTTAAGTATTTATAAATATTTTTAGTTTCTTTTCTACCTTGTAGCAATTAACACAGTATCAGTATTTTCAAAATATATTCCATTGAAGTAGTAGTCCCTTGAGTTGCTCTTACATCCTCAGATTAGTGTAGGAAATTGTGCCTGTTCGCTTATTTCTTAGAGATTCTTGAAGCAGTCTAACATAGTACTTAAGATTATGAACTTAGGAGTCAGTCAGGGCCAGGGTCAAATCAAAGTGCTGCCCCTTAGTAGTTGTGTGACCCTGACAAGCTACAATTTCTTCATCTGTGAAATGGGGTAATAGTGTTAGTTCACATGACAGAATGAGTGAAGAATTAAGAGAGACAGTGCAAGTAAGTGCCACAACTAATTATACAGTTATAGTCCAACTCTAAAATGAAAGATTATTATTTCTAGGGAAACTAAATCAACTATCATATTAATCATTGATTGTCTCTCCAGCATTTTAACATCCTCCTTTTCACATCCCTTCTTATACCAAAGAAAAGATAAAGTTTAAATTAAAAAACAGAGAGAGATTGAGAAAACTCATAAAAATGTTGAGCCTTTTTGATGCACATTATTTTCTTGGTTTACAAAAGAAAATTATTCCAGTTTGATATCTCTATTAAAATTCAAGCAAGATTGTCAAGTCACTTATAATCCAACTGGTTGGGCTACTAACAAACCAATTGGGAATCTCTCTGTACAAGTATACAAATAATCTTAACTTTGAAGAACAGTGGAATTGACAAATACATATCGCTTGAATTGGTTAAAGTACAGCCCCAAAGAATGGAGTTTGTAACTTAAAAAAAAACATTTTTAATGTTAATACCGAAATGATTCTTTTTGATTTCAATATTTGGCAGCTCCTAACTGCCATATCAAAGAGAGGCCTGTCAGACACACAAGAGGGTGAATATTATTATTTAACTCTTAATATTCCCATATACGCTGTTTTAGGTCTTTTAAAATAAAGAGGGAAGCATAAGTGTGTATTATGAATTTTATTTGTGTGGATCATTGGACTTCTCTCTATCAGGGAGAACAAATTTTGAGGGCATACCACCTGCGTTAGCACAGATTTCATAGAACTTTGCAAGTTGTTTTTCTTTTCTCAGAGTCCATTTATATTTGTCCTAACATTTAAATGTTAACTAGGAATGAACAGCTATGTAGAAGGAAAACAAAAAAGATTGAATATTATGTCTATTTTTCTATAACCTATAGTGTTTTCCACAAAAGTATACTGTCTTTTGCAGGAAGGCCTAAATTATTTAAGGAATTATACTAAATAGAGGGGACTATAGTTACTTCAGATCATAACGGAAACAGTGTAAAGTTGTCGTGAGAATTGTCTTTTTGAATTTTTAGTAAGCTTAATTTGAACACAAAATATGCATGCATTTAAATGTGGAGGGGAGATTTTACTTTATTTGTCTTATTTTCAGCTGCAAATATCATGTACATCACCATCAGACTGACAGTTGTTTGGCTTGAGTTTTAGAGGACACATATTTGGGTAATTTTTGAAGTATGTGAATTGTAAAATTTAAAAGACTTAAATAAATTTACTCTCGATTATTCCTCCAGATATTAATCGTGCAGTTTGGTGGCAAGCCTTTCAGTTGTTCAGAACTTTCAATAGAGCAGTGGCTATGGTCAATATTCCTAGGGATGGGAACGTTGCTCTGGGGCCAGGTAAAAATCTCATCATTTGTTTGTTCAAACCTAAAGTGACTTTTTTCTTTTAATTTCTTTAAAAGAAATTGTATTTTCTTTAATCAGTTCTGTTACTTGATTCTAAGTAGTTATCATTCTGGGTCAAGAAAGGGCATTCAGGAGTAATGTTTTTTTAAAAAGTAATATTTGTTCTAATATGTCACTTGCTGTTTTGATTATGCCTATACGATAAAACACTATTTTGATTTCTTACGTAGTTTTTTAATGTGTTTTTTAGAGATGATGTATTGATAACTGGTTAGGATGCTAATATTGATACTTTTTGCTCTATGACCTATTTTTGCCTTTTCAAAATATGTTTATGAAAATATTAAAAATACTATATACTTTAGACTTCTTACCCTTTTTTATGTAGTTTAATAAAAATGTAGCATAGGAAAAATCTTCAGTTTCAGTTCACGTGGAGAATGTTTCCATAAAAATAGTGGTATGTGGAATAATGAGCCACAGAATGACGTTTTATATTATTGGGATCGAATTGCTTTAACAGTGTATATATAAAATACAATGCCTGTAAAATGAGAGTTACTTCATCTTACTGTAGGCAGCTGACTTGCAAATGTTACGTCATTATTTTTTAAAAGATAAGTAGTAATGGTGTGTGCATTCTTCGTTTTACGTCCATTACTATTACTGTAAAACTAACTGATGGAGAAGCTGTACTAACATTTTCGTAGATGAAAGTTTACATGTTATGCTGTCTAACTGGAGTGAGCTAATTTATTGCCATTCTACACGTCTGTCAACCCAAACATGCAGGGTTTACTTACACTTAACGCAGTCTTCAGGTGCCTTTTATCTCACCTTTTTCTTAATTGTGCTTCTAGGTTCTGATGTTTCTCTTCTTACTCATTTTGAAGACCTCTTTAACTGAGATCTTCTTTTAAGTAGGGTGTCCATACTTGGTCCACCTTTTTTTTTTTTTTTTTGATTACTATTCTGGTTATTTCATAATGTTCCCTCAACAAGACAGAACCCACAACCTTGCCAAAAGAATCTGGCTAATTTCAGGAGGAAATTGAGTACAGCAGACGTACCCAACAGGCATCAGTTACTATCTCTGGTGGACGTCGTCTGTTGATGTTAAGCGTGTCGTGGGAGAAAGAGCACTGATTTTGGTGGTCAGGAGACCTCAGGTCTCAGTCACTCCGTGAACAAGTCACTTCTCATGTCTCTGAGTCTGTTCCACCTCTGTAAAATGAAGTAGTTGGACTAGACGTTCTCTAAGCAGTTCTGGTTCCGACTGTGCTCTTTCCCCTGACAAGCCCGACTTCCTTAAGGAGTGACTGCTCACACTTAGAGGTTGATCCGTATTTATTGGTGCTTTTTGTATCCTTTATGTTTTCTGGGGCATCTCTTCCTGTTGGGTGTCATTATTAATCAGTGTTAATTCAATTTTAAGTAGTTGCATTTTATAAAAAGTGAATACATTTAATAAACAACAAGCTATTTTCAATTTAACCTTGAAGATTTTTTGAATTTTGGTATGTTTTTCTCATTGAACTGTTACAGCACTAATGAAATGTAAGCTTATTTTATCAATAAGATCACCTGCCATTTTTATTTTATTTGAAACAGATACAACTAATATGAGTTTAAGTAAATATATATATCAAAGCATGGTTGTATAATTTACTGTCTTGAATGTCCTCAATAAAATGTGAAAAATGTAATCAGGTTATTTCCATTCAGGAGAACTTTTTACCCTTCCAGACTTAAATCTTTTGTGTAGCTCAGAGAAGAATATTTGTGTTCTGAGGAAAAAAGCCTCTGATGGACAGGATCTCATTGCCTCGTTGGTAAAGATAGTTGGCTGTGCTTGCAACTCTTCATACCCTTCGTGTTAAAGTTGATCTGTTTAATTGTGCCTGATAGCATTTATTTCTAAGTTCTTTCCCCTGTGTTGTAGCTTATTTCAACTATTCCAACTAGCCGTTTAAAATTCCTAAAAGAAGCTGGTCATGGAACACAGAAGGAAGAAATCCCTGAGGAGGAGTTGGCAGAGGACGTGGAAGAGATCGATCACGCTGAAAGGGAGTTGCGGCGTGGCCAGATCTTGTGGTTTAGAGGTCTGAACAGAATCCAGACGCAGGTATGGGCCTGGTGGAGAGGTAGGAGAGGTGCCGGGAGCGGGAGCCGAGGGCTTTTGGACCTGGGGAGGAGGTTTGAATGTGCTCCTGAAATTCCTTTCCAGCCTTCCCAACCCACAAAACTTATTCTTTTGAAAAATAATACTGATGCCTGGAATGAGTGGAAGTTTTAACAGATCATGAAAGAATGTGTCTATATGCCCCTAAGCTCCTTTTTTCCTAGCTTTTTTTCCCCCCCTTCATCTCAAAATGCTACTCTTGCCTGTTTATCTGCTCTGTAAAAAGTGCCTTTTTCTTTACTTTTTATATGTTGATAGATGGAATGGTCCTTTCTCTTGTTCTCTCTCTCTCTTGCTGAGCAAGCTGTCACAATCTCTGATTCCTTGCAGATGGATGTAGTGAATGCTTTCCAGAGTGGAAGTTCCATTCAGGGGGCTCTAAGGCGGCAACCCTCCATCGCCAGCCAGCATCATGATGTAACAAATATTTCTACCCCTACACATGTAGTGTTTTCCTCTTCTACTGCTTCTACTACTGTGGGGTGTGAGTGTGTGTTCCTAAGTGCATGAAATTAACATTTCCTACTTCACACACCTAACGTTTCTCATTTTCTCCTTAATGTTTAAATTCATTGTTCAGGCTTTTCATAAAGCTTTCTTTTCGTAAAGTGGATTGAGACCTCAAAGTGTTGTCGTTGTTGTTGTTTTATTTCTTAGAGGGCTAGATAACAGGCGGAGCAATTGCAACCAAAGATTAGATATGAAGTCTGTGGGCTTGTCTCTGTGCTAACTGGGATGGTTAATAGGGGGAATAAAATTGTAGCTTAGACTTTGTGAAACGACTATAAATTTTTGAGTATATGCCTTTAAACATGTTCCTCCTGCATGGTTCCCAGAAGCATGTGATTTGAAACTGATCTAACAGAACCAAGAAATTGTGTTTTTAAAGCTGCAAAGGAATTTAGCATTTTGACTTTTATCTCGTTCAGTTTGGAAAGTCAGTCAGCGCCCCGAAGGGAAGTTCTCAGCGTAGAGCCTGTTGCTCGGCCTTCTTAGCCTGGACTTGGTGGTTTTGCTTTGGATTTCTTTTTTTCTTTTTTTTTTGAGCGGAGGTCCCTGTATAAGCTTTAAAGTTCTGTGGTATCCGTGGGGTGTTTTTGTTTGTTTGTATAATCAACTTAATATAAAATTGCATCTTAGATAAGAAATATTCTGTTGTCTTAAGTTTTCCACAGCAGTAGAGAAAGGGTACTATTGAGTCATTATTGGGCTATCGCATGTCATAATTTCCATTAATTGACTAGAATAACAAATTTTCTTTCAGGTTTTTAGTAAATGGCAAACTCCCTAAAAGCCTTATAACCCATATCATCCTTAGTGCGAATTAGGGTCTTGATTTCATGGTGAATTCTCAGTATATTGGAGGCACTAAAGATATAAACCCAGCCACCTCTCACCCCTACTCCCGAAATCAGCTGAAATACCTAAGTTAATCTTTATTTGGGTAGAGATCTGTCTTTTCTGTTTGGTCTTCAGCCAGGTGAGGAAAAGAGGAACCTTGGGAAGCTGGAGAGAGGAGGAATCGAGGGAGAAAGCAGTGCTGTTTGGAGGACGGTCTGCTCAGGGCCTGTTTGCTGTTGCTTAAGTGATTTTCCTATGGTATTTTTGAACGGTGTTTTAAAACAGGCAGAACAGGAACTGGCCCCATTTTACAGGTGTGAAAACTGACTTGGAGTTGAAATGACTCATCCATGGCTAATAAGCAGAGGCAGCACGATGTAGAGAAAGGGCAGACAGTTGCTCTAAGGACAAACTGACCCTGTAATATTAGATAGGATGTTAAGTTTATATACATGGACAGATAGGAATCTTCCTTTTAAAAACTGCCCAGGCACTCCCTGCCTGAATGAGTAGTCAATGTAAGCTGCCTGACTTTGTGCCTGGGACAGCTAACGTCTACTGCACCCTTCCCTCTGTCTGTCTGTGGATTTCACATTGTTCCTGGCTCTCAGTGGCCTGTTACCCCTTATCCCTTCTTCTTCTTCTGTTAGGGTTTCTTTAGTTGTGTTCCAGAAACACTTAGGGAAGGCCTACCATATGCCAGGCTATGCTAGAACCTCCAGACCACGTAATCTAGTAAGGGAAACAAGTAGTTGGGAATTTCTACACAATAGTGAAAGATAGAATATTATAACAAGGTCCTTAACCCACCCTGAGAAGTCAGGAAAAATCACCTGCAGGAAATGACTCCTGAGCTGACCCTTGATGGAATTCACTAGTTGAGGAAAGTGAGACTTAGTGACATAGTTTGATACTAAATGTAACAAAATATAAGGTGTTCGTGAGGCTAGAATGGAAGGTAAGTGTCTGTTTATATCCTATAAAAAAGATCCAAAAATAAGACTTTATCCTGAAAGACTCTCTCCCCTCAAAATTTTAAATTTGAAGATTTTAAACTGACAGACAATTTGAAAGATTTATACATGAATACCCTTCACCTGCATTTAGCACTCCTTAATATTTTATGACATCTGCTTTATCTATCTATATATTAATAGGTACTTTTTTCTGAGCCATTTGAAACTAAGCGGGGCAGTTATTGTAACATTTCATCTCTAAATGCTTCAGCATGTACCTCCTAAGAAGGAGAAGTCCCCTGTACAATCATACTATATTATCACATCCAAGAAATTTAACATTGATACCATTTTATCCAATATACAGTCCATCTTCAGATTTCTCCAGCTGCCCCCAAAATTTCCTTTATAGCTTTTTTGATCCAGAATCTAAGAAAGGATCCTCAACAGTGTGTGTTATGACCCTTTAGTCTCCTTTAACCTGGAACCATTTTCTCCACCTTTATTTTTCATGACATTGACTTTTTGAAGAATCTGGGCCACTTGTCTTATAAAGTGCCCTAACTTCTGGATTTATCTGATTGATTCCTCATGTGTAGCTTCATGTTAAACTTTTTAGACAGATTTATCTCATGGGTGTGTATTATATCTGTTTTTATTTTAGCAAAATTTTAAATAATGGACTTTTTTCATTTGGAGAGTGTCACATGACCTTAGGTCTGCTATATTTCTCTGTATAATTGTATTCCAGGCTTTATGTTAAACATCCAGTCAATCACAAACTGTGTTTTGAGACATAGCCACCCACACCTGCCCAGGCTCTTTTCTGGTATGCAACTGTATATGAAAACTGAGAGTTGCTGGGCCCATGAGGCCAGGGGAATGGAGGGGTATTTCAGAGAGCAGCTAGGGAAGGTTTGCAGCTGTTACTTCATCAGGGTTTGAGGTGTTTACTTCTTTATTCTATATTCTCTGTTCTGGGAGCATAAGGAGATATCGAGGGCTCATGGCACATCTTCTCCATGAGATTATCATTATACACTAATAGTTGCCATAATTATATTGCCGTTACCTTGAATTTCTTTCAGCCTTGCTGGTGAAACATTGTCTTAGGTGGTGCAGAACATCAGCCAGTATATAGAATTAATTAGTAGTGTTAATATGTTTCATGAAAGGTTTCATTTCCTCTGCGTTCCTGCCCTAATATAGAAGAGTCTTAGAAATATCTGTGGAGGTCAGACTTCTGTGACTCTTATTCGGAGTCTTTGCTTTGCTAAATGGAAGAAATAGTAATCCATTTCGACTTCGTCTTATACTAAGCTTGAAATGTCTCTGGAGAGATCATCCTTTTTCCCTCATTTATCAGTCAGATCTTTACTCTTAAAGATTTCTAGACAAAGGATTCTATACTTTTTCTTTATTTATAAAGCATATCATTCTACTATCAGTCTTCCCTGTTCGTATGTTCTTGTGCTCAAGCAATAGTTAAGCCTTCCTGGAAAGGAGAAATTGAGAGAAAATTTGGTCTTCTAGATGAAGGGTTGGCAGACTATAGCCTATGGGCCAAATCTGCCTGGTTGCTTGTTTTTGAAAATAAATTTTTATTGGAACACAGCCACGCTTATTGATTTCAGTATTGTCTCTGGTAGTTTTTCCACTACACGGGCAGGGTTGAGTAGTTGCATCAGAGACCGTATGGCTCACAAAACCTTTACTCTTGTCCTTTACAGAAAGTGTTTGCCAACCCCTATTCCAAATAATTAAAACATTATACGTTACGCAGGTGGGTCTTACTTTGAGAAAATTCAGTATGCAAATACCCAACTTTGGAAAACAACCTAGAATTTTCTTTCTTGTTACAAAATATTTTTTGCTTTATCATTGCAATTCCTTAAGTTAGTGCACATAGTAAAAGTAACGATGAATAGAAATTTTAGAAATAGGCAAACTGTTGTTGAAGATAAGGTATATCAGCTAGTGATTAAAAAGTCTCATTTTAGAGCTGTCGTTGCATCCCACGTTCTCGGCAATAATATTGTCATTCTCTTCTGCTGTCAAAAGTTAGGTTTGTATTTAGGAAAATGGGTGCTTTAGCAGGATGCATGATCTTGTTTTGATTTGTTACTGAAATTTAATGTATTATTTATCTTGATAATCATTTTCATTTTCTTAAAATTACTTTATGATTATGATCATCACTTTGATTTTTTTGTTTATCATATATCCTTCATGCAGTGTTTTCCTCTGTTGAATAATTTCCTCTTTAAAAATTTTTCTGGACATAGGGATTATTGAATTTTTCTTAATTTTAGGAGTTACTATGTTGTGCATAGTAGGTCTCAATAAATATTAAAGGAATTGTTAAAAGACTGGATAAAATAAGGCTTGATTGTGAGGAATGGGTAGTTAGGCTCACTTCTTAAGTCTCTGTTTAAACTGAATTCTTTGTGGTATTAAAATAGTTTCCTACCTAAGTATTGTGTACACAGTTAGGCTTTTTAATTACTCAGAATTGTTACGGTCCTGTGAGAATTTTACATATAAAGGTAAGATATCAGAGCAAGTGTAGGTCAGCTCGATGTCATCCTTAGATCGAGAGTGCTTTCTTATTTATGTTCTTTGTGAGTAGAAAGTACAACAAATCTGGTTCAGTGATCCGTGGTTAAAATAAACTTTATTGTATGTATCTAATATGAGAACTGTTCTTTGAAAATTGTGTTGCTTTGAAGCATTTCTGAGCTGTCCTTTTCCTGTGCACATACTAACCCAGCCATCCTGTGGCTGAGTAGTGGAGTCAGCGGAAGGCAGCTTAACCTTAATCTTAGGAAGTATTGTATTCTGGTGAAGTGAGCTATAAAGTTAATGTCCACGTATTCTCTTCTTTCATTGACTTCCAAAGAACCGGGAATTGGCACTCCCGAAACCTTGGTCCTAAGACACTTTGGCACTGATTAGGAGTGACTTGATAAGTCAGCCACCATTCCTCTCAGTTGCTCAGTTTCATCATTTGCAAAATGGTTAGAATAAAGTAGCTCCAATATCCTTGCAAGCTCTGATGTTCTCAGATAACTTAAGAAGTTCTTTCAGAAAGAACAAAAATCTTAACCAAAATTGAAAAGTTTTTGTGAAAAGGAATCTAATTTCACCTGCTGCAGATGTGTGTGTGTGTGATTGGGTGTGCACACACGCTTCACCTGCTTACTCTGTACCCTCTGCCCCCCTGGGAGCTTGCTGACTCCCACATCTCTGACTTCAGCGCACGCCTTTCTCCTGAGCTCGGGATGTCTTCACTTGGGTGTTCTGCAGCTCCTCAGATTTAGCATCTTCCAAAAATGGATTTATTTCCCCCTTGATTCTTCGCTATCTCCCTCTGTCCAGACTGCTCAAGACAAAACAAGGCAGAAATGCCAGCAACCAAGTCAGATAAGCAACAACTGCAGGGTCGTCTTGACCAGTTCACCCCACCCGTCAGGGTTGCTGGCTGACCCTGCAGTTTGTATTCTCCTCTGGACCTACTGGCCACTGACACCAACAGATTTTTTTTTTAGAGTTTATCTTTTTGCTTCTTTTAACTGTATAGTTTATCATTAGGACACTGGGGATACCTACTAAATGTCCACATACATAAAGTGTGAATTGTGAGGTTTCACAAGAAAAAACAACTAAATGAATGATTATAATGGTATATTTAGCAGGCATTGTTTACACACCACATGTAAAACATTTTACGTCTTAGTAAAGGCAGAACAAGAGTAAGAAAAGAAATTGAAAATGTATTTGCTGCTAATAGTGTCAAATGAAGGCACTAAAGTACAAACACGTGAGTAGAATAGAATTATGCAGTAGCATATGATAAAGCAGCACAACACAGGGAGTGGAAGCTTGCTGATCAAAGGGTGGATTATGGTCCAGTAGCTTCCGCATCACCTGGGAGCTTGTTAGAAGTGCAGGATCCCAGACCCCTACTGAATCAGAATCTGCATTTTAACAAGATCCCCAGCTGTTTCATGTGCACATTAAAGTTTGAGAAGCCCTGACATTGACACTTGTGAGCTAACCATGTTCTAAGCCTGTGCTTGTACTAATTCAATCTCCCATAATAATCCCCTAAGTAGGCATCATTGTTATTTCCCATTTTATAGTTGAGGAAATCTGTTTGTCTGGGTTCCTCATCTATTCAGTGGCAGAGCTGGAATTCACACCCAGACATTTCACCTCTGTCTTCCTTGCTCAGCTGTGCTGTACACTCTCTCTCTCTGTAGAGGGCTAAGTGAACAAGGAGGAAAGCTGCCCACAGACAGGGCTTGGTAAATCAGGGAAGACCACTTTGGGGAGAGATGAGGTTTTAATCAGAACTAGACAGATGTTGTTACAAATGGCAGGATTCCCTTCTTTTTAAGGCTGAATAGTATCCCATTGTATGTATATACCACATCTTCTTTATCCATTTGTCCATTGATGGACACTTAGGTTGTTTCCATATCTTAGCTATTGTGAATAATAGGAGTGCAGGTGTCTTTTCAAGATCCTGATTTCAAGTCCTTTGGATAAATTCCCAGAAGTGGGAGACTGAAATAGTTAAACTTATGGAAGCAAAGAGTAGAATGGTGGTTACCAGGGGCAGGGGATAGGGGAATGGGGAGATGTTAGTCAAGGGTTACGAAGTTTCAGTTATACAAGATAAGTTCTGGAGATCTAATGTACATCCTGGCAGCTAGAGGTAACAATACTGTCCTGTATACCTGAAATTTGCTAATTGGGTAGAATCCTAACTGCGGTGATGGCCATGTTAATTAGCTTGATTGTAGTGATTATTTCATACTGTACGTGTATATCAAATCATCAACTTGTACACTTTAAATATATACTATTAAAAAAGAAGGCATAAGCTGTTACATTTTTTAACAATACATTCAAATATCCTTTTGAAAAAAATGTATAAATGTTTTATGAAGTGATTTTGGTGACTACATCTTTTTTTCTGGAATGTCAATGTCAGTTACTTCTCTTAATGTTATGAGTAAACGATGTCTCATTACAAAACAGGACTCATTAGAACCAAAACAAAAGCAAACACTGTATCTGAATTGATATGTTACAGCAGATGCTCAACTATTTGGATTTTGTCCCCTTTTTTTTTTGGAAAGTCTGTATGACACTGGGTTAATGAGACCTAACGTCGGGGTGTGTATTTGTGTTAATTGCCCCTTAACCTCTTTTCCTCCATATGGCTGACTTCTGAGAAGGAAGGGGAATCATTGGGCTGTATGTTTAGGGGCAAAAATACTGGAAAACTTTGTGTCTTCTCCTTGGGAAATTTTTCACAGAAGAATCCCAGAGGCATATTTTTGTTTTTCTTTTAAATCTTTTCTTTCCAGTGAACTGTAGTATATAAATTGATTTAAGTTTTAATCTGTTATAGAGAAAAACACTAACACTTTATAGACAAATGGCATATACTCAAATATTTATAGCTGTTTAATGGCATTTTATAGATATTTATTTGGGTTTTGTCTTTATTTTTATTTTTTAATTAAGGGAGTAGTGGGGTAGATGTGAGTTCATTGTGGCATTCAGCTTCTATTTGCTTGGCTTTTTCATAGTCGGTGACACCCTAATTCCTAGCATGATAAACAGTAACCCTCTGTGCTTGACTTTGTTTAACTTACTTGAATTGTTTTCAAAAACTATATTTTTTTAATTTAAAAAAATCAGCTACAGCTTGTGTATGGTTAAGTTTTTGTTTTGTTTGTTTTTTGTTTGATTTTGTTAGTGGAAAAAATCCTATAAAATGGCTATTAAATTTTGAGCCAGTGACAATGAGATTTTCTTAATATTACTTGGAATTCTCTACCTCTTAATTCTTAGAGTATGTGGTTTTGTTGTTCTGTAGTGTCCTACTAAAATATTCATTTTTTTTACAGTGTATTGCAAGTTCCACTGCATTACATGCAAATATGATTCACTCATACCTAGCTGTTTGTGGATTCAGACTCATAAATGCACCATTTTTAAGTTAACCCAGTAGTGTACTGACATCCTTCTGTGTTTTCTGATATTTACAGATTCGAGTGGTGAATGCATTTCGTAGTTCTTTATATGAAGGGTTAGAAAAACCGGAATCAAGAAGTTCGATTCACAACTTTATGACACATCCTGAGTTTAGGATAGAAGATTCAGAGCCTCATATCCCCCTTATCGATGACACTGATGCTGAAGATGATGCTCCTACAAAACGTAACTCCAGTCCTCCACCCTCCCCCAACAAAAATAACAATGCTGTTGACAGCGGGATTCACCTTACCATAGAAATGAACAAGTCTGCTACCTCTTCATCCCCAGGAAGCCCACTACATAGTTTGGAAACATCACTCTGATTGTAAGCTGAATGTTAACACACTAGCTGCATTGTAAAGAAACAAATTGAAACTGGGTCTTTTCACACATTGTGACGGACAAGATCGTATTCTTGTCTTTGGACTTCAACAGAAGACACACTTGTACGAATGTAGATTTATTTTTTTAAAAAAAAGCAAAGCTTTCTGCCAGACTGAGGGTGCTTTTTGGGGGGTGGGAGAAATGAACTGACAGATAAACAGTAACTCAGCGTAAGTTGACCTGTGGATCATCAGTGGTACCTAGGAATGGTCCTGAACAGTGTAATGTAGACCTTTAGTTTATCTCCATCCTTGATGGGAGAGAGTTAGGAGGAAAGCCGGGCAAGCAGGCAAAGAGCCCTGGATCATTGAATCGATACTTTAATTTCTGCTGTTGGCTGTTAATAATTTGGATTATTTATGTTTATAAATGATACAGATCTGTTTACAAGGTTTGTAGATACTTTTTTTGTTCCTGTTCATAGATGGGAAGCTTCCTTATAACTGATGCAGAGAAAAATTAGTCCTTCAAATACTGCTGTATTTTCAGGAAAAAAAAGGGGGGGGTGTTTCTATTGAAACTGTACTAAATTTTTGCCTACAATTTACCTTGTTAAATATTGTAGATAAATTGCTAATACTAATAGCCAAATAGATAACACTAATGCTTTGTTTAAAAAAACAAAAAAAAGAAAACAAAACAAAAAAACATGAGCAGTGGTGTTCTAATGAAGTTATGGCATCTGTCCTAATTAGTTTCTTAAATACATTTACTACTTAATGGTTTTGAAAGAACTGTTTAATTTTTAAAATTTTTGAAAACTTGCTAATAACCTTTGTTCAGAATTTAGTAGATTGTTTAATGCGGGACATCAACTACATAATGAAAGATGCTTGAAATGCTTTTGTTATTTCAGGCAAATCAAATTAAATCAAACTATCAAACTACAAGAGAACCTTAGTCCTTTTTGTTTTTGTCTAAACATGTTAGTTCAGTGATGTCTTGGCGAACTGTGAGTGAACTGTATTGATTTTTCTGATAAATCCTTAGGACCCTTCATGCAGCATGAGGGCTGTTGGCATTTTGAAAAAGGTTAATAAGTAGAAGCATTCATGTTTTCCTTTTGTTTTTGAAACTTGTTTGTAAACATAAATAAATATGCCCTTTTATTGAATAAATACATGGCACTGTTTTTTTAAAAAGAAATTTCAGCTTCTTTCCTCAATTCTGCATATATGGTACATCAGTCTGTTCCCTTTAACCGTAATTGGAGTAAATTTCAAGATGGTAACAGCCCCATGAAGTGCCGCTGTAATTCCTTGGTGGTAATCTAATAGAACCATACCAAGAAAATCACCATCTGACATATTCTGCAGAGAATTTAGTTTGCCTAAAATAGTCTCAGTTTAAAAAACAAAAATGACCACCATTGTCTTCGATACATTTATTTTACTTCTTAAGTGGCCAAATAACACATTAGGTAAAATGAGATTATATGAAAAGGTGGAAAAGTTCCTAAAAAAAATATTTAGATGTATTAACGGTATGCTCGAATGCCCATCTCTAAGCCAATTGGATTCTTTAAGTCTTTGTTTCTTCCTTTTGTCTATCTCCTCCCCTTTTTTGCCTCTGTCTTTACCTTTTAGGAACTGGCATTGTATTAGGGCCCAGATTTCACCAGATACACAATCCTCAGGCTGACGTAAAGTTTACGAGGACTACTCTGACATCTGAGAGTGCTGACCCAGCAGGAAACATTTAGTTGACGGTGCTTGATATTTTTGGTGGGTGGGGGAAAACCTTTTTCTCTCCATCAGTCCTTTGCAGTAATCCTCTGCAAGTATTAGAAATACATTGGCTCTGTCAGCATTTGTAGTTGTACATTTATTCATCAGGTATTTATAGCAAATCATACTGTAAAAAGAGGTAGCATGATATGCTGGAAGGCGTACAAGGCTAGGAGTCAAGACCTGGTTTCTAGTCTTGGTTTTGCCATTAACGTGCTGCATGACCTTGGGAAAATCATTTACCCTAAACAAGGGTGGTGGACTAGACTATCTCGAAGAACCCTTTCAACTCTAAAATTGACCCTATCAACTGGAGAGCCTGCAAGGCATAGGGAATAGAGAAAAGGGAAATGTTTTCAGTTTTCTTTTTTATTTTGGTTATGCTTAAATATGAATGTAATTACCAAAAGATTTAGAAGTGCATGTGCTTTGGAGGATTTGTATTGAGCTTTTACAGTATTCATTTTTCAACTCAAGGCAATGGCTTTTTACACCAACTCTAATCCATAAACGGGTCTTAAGACATCCATGAAGTAGTAGCAAGACATGCTTAGTGTGTATATCTCTCTTTGAGACACTGTAATTTCTACCAGAAATTTCCAGAGCATTATGTAAGTAGAAAAAAATGCAAGCAAGCTGTTAAAGATCTTGGATCCCATATATAATATGTATAGCGGAAATCAGCATCTGTAATTCAATCACTTTTTCTCTTTTATCCTCTAACCAAAAAATTGTTTAATTTTGCATCCCAAATGTTTTTAATCTTTGTATATTTTTTAAAAATCTTTTTCTCCTCATCATTGCCTTTTTTGTGGTTGTAAATAGACTTACTTGCACTTTGAAGATGAGTTACTCCTTGTCATCTTACAAATATGTGATATGGTAATTTTCATAACAGATGTCAGTTTTGAACCAAGAAATGGTGATTTGTTTATAAGAAAAAAAAACTGGCTTCATTTCTGTGAAATTGCTCTTTGAAAATTTCTTTTTACACGTGTAAGCCAACTGAGATACCGTGATGGTGTTGATTTCTTTCAATGATGCTTACCATCTATTTTAGCCACTGAGCCTTTTATTATTTGTCTATTTGTAAAGTTTATTTGTCTTAACTCATTTAATAAATATACTGTTTATCTGTTTCTGAATGGGGACTGAACTTTTTGAATATTTAAGTTGATCTGAACATCATCTTTTGGAATTACCTTTTTCTGCTTGAAATTTTAAAAATCTGATTCATGAAAATTCTGTAATGTACTTGAAATGTTATGGTTGTGTTACAGTGAATCAGTGTTCAAATGTGCAGGATCTTGCCCCTAGAATGAAAGTGGGTATATTTTCCTTACTCCTACCCACTGACTTCAGTCCTTGCAGCACAATAGATCATTGCCGCAGTCCATGAAAGTGTCATGTTTTGGTTTGGGAAGAGATTAGTTTTTCACATTAACTGTAAGAGCTTATTCTTTTGTTAAATAATCCAAACTTGTCCGTGGCAATTATCTGAACTCTGTGGTAACAAAATCAAGTTGCCTTTAGTTGGTTTTTGTAATAAATTATTAACAGAAATTAGCAGCTTTGTTGAGATAGTGAACTTTAAATGATTATGGATACCATATTTTTCCATTAGTAAAAATAATTAGTAAATTATGGGGTATATGTAAGTACCTTATTTATGACATGAGACACATTTTCCATTTTGTCAAATTAGTTTTTATCTGTGTATTATGTATTAGGATTGAATTTGGAATTAAGTTCCCTTTGTAAAATTAAGAGAATAAGAAGGGGAGTTTCCAGAAGTCTTTGCTGGTTGACATTTTGCCTTCCCCATGTCTTAAGAGAATTCCTGTCATATTGTCACTGCCTTCTTTTTTTTCACCATTGCTGCCCTAAGACTGGTGCCCAAACCCTGTATCAACCTTTATCTTCTAAAATTACAGTGTTAAACTCATTCGTAGACAAAAAATAAGGTACTTTTATTAGCATAATTATACCGCCTAACTAAAAATAATCTTTGAAAGATCGTTGAAAAATAACCTTCTTTTAGGATAAGTGTTATAAGAAGACCAAGAATGTTGCATGCAGTAAGGCAAGTTGTGGTTGTGTTCCTGTTCTCTCATCAATACATGTCAAAAAGGAAATGATCTTTATCCTTACAATGTAATTTCCTTTTCGACAGATTGTTAATTTTGTCCCTTAAACTCTCAACTCAGAGTTTTACTTTGATCCTTTTTGTCTTAAGAACTCTTTCTTTAACATTTTCCCTGTTTATTAGAAAAACACTTCAGTTTACAGATAAATATACTAAATGTAAGCATGTTTAATCTGTATTCTTTGAATTCAAAGTGTCACTATTGAACAGTATAATATTAGTGGTTCCAAAGTAGGGGATTGAAGTAAGAAATGTGCATGCATGCTTATAGTATCAGTCTGGTACAACTTCCTTAACCAGCAGTATATCCTAGGAAAACTAGTTCCCAAGTCATTAACACACAAGTCTAGCTTTGGGTTCAATGCAGGAAGTCCTTAAGATTCTCTTAATTTAAATCAGAGTTACAAGGACCACATATTTTTCAGATTACTTTTAAGACGATTAAATATAAGCACCAATACTTTCCTTCGCTATTACGAGGAATATTGTCACAACATAAAATAGTATTTATGGAGCACCTGTGTATGTTAAGCACCTTACATGGATTATGTAAATAATAACCCTGTGTACCACTGCTACCGTTTTACATACGGGGAAACTGAGGCTTAGAGAGTTTAAGTAGCTTGCTCCATCGAGGTCACGTGGCTAGGAGGTAGAGCTGGGATTCCCACGAGATCTCCAGAGCCCAAGCTGGTAGCTACTGGTCTTCACTGCAGTACTGGCATCTTGGTAACCTGAGTCGGGGCCCAATGCCTAACGATCTGTGCTGAACTTTTAAGCGTTCCTTTGTTGTTGTTCTTTTCTGATATCATATGCTTCCGAGATGATCTGAAGAATCTTCATAACCTTGCTGGAGAATAACTCAAGAGACCGAGGCAAAGAATCATTGATTAAGGCATATAGTCCAAGCTTGTCTTATAGTCAGACCACCTCTAGCTGAAGAGTCAAAGATAAGCTCAGTGGAGTGGTGTTGTTAATAGCATACTTTGGCTAGAGTATTTCATGATTCAGTACTTTTAAAATAGGTTATTTTTACTCTTAAGTTTCATAGATAACCTATTAATTTGACAGGTTATTGCTTTATTTTCTAAATGAAAATATTATCACAATGAGATAATTTGCATTTTTTGTTCTTGAAATTTATGAAACTAAAGAACAGGATGTCTTACATTTGTTTTTGAAGAATTACTTTGTCCTTCAGCAGTATTTTCCTTGGTGAAAATTCGTGATGCTTTAATATTTAGCCTAAGGGACTGACTTGCACATTGGCTTTTAAATTCACAATTTTTAAAATAAGAAAATTGCAACCATTATTTCACTACTGTTTTCATAGCATTTTATATTAAGGTTGGTTGTGGTTTATGAATAGTCATTTGGCCTCATAGTCTACAAACAAGATGCTTTCTGATTTTTATAATGTTTAACATTTATCTTAGTAAAGCTATTTTAAAACATTTTTTTTCCTATAAGCCTATTTTTGAAATCATAAATATTTAGTCGAAGGCATACCTTAATGCACAGCTTGGGAATGAATACAAAAAAATAAGAATGGGACCTCGGGGACACCTGTGGTATCTGAGTTTAGAAATTCAAATTAGAATGCTTTTAATTTATCCAGTATTCTAAATCTTTTTACCGTAAGCCTGCTCTCATTGGCTTCACACCCTCTGAGAAGGGTAAGTCTGTAGTATCTAAAGTCATTGGTCTTTCACTTTCACTTCCTCACTGCTGTAAGCAGATCTCAACATTTGAAGCGTGGTGAAGCAGAGAGCGGATCGTAACAGTAAAGTCATACCAAGTTTCTAGAGTCTGGGACTCAACTTATGGGAACATTAGAGTCAGTCCCCCTTTTCCTGCCCCCAGATTATCTACCTACCAACAGCTTTCATGCCCTTTATCTACTGCTCTTGCCCTCCATTCATTCAACAGATATTTGGTATCTGTCATGGGGAATCCAGACTGTTCTGGACTTGGGAGAACCAAGCCGGTTCCTTCTTCTCAAGGTGTTTATGTTCTCGTAGGTGAGAGAGACAGACCTATGTCAGGTGGTAGGGGACGATGCTGTGTTACATAGTGTGGTCAGGGAAGCCCTCTCAGATAAGGTGACATGTAAGGAGAGACCTGAAGGAAGTGAAGGAGCCACCTGCCTGGTTGTCTGGAAGAGCCTTCCCGGAAGACATCCCAGTGGATAGGGCTTGGCAAGTGTCAGGAACAGCAAGAAGGCCACTGTAGCTGGTGTGGAGGGAAACAGTGGGAGAGGGGAGGAGCTAGGCTTCGAGAGGTAATGGGAGACTCTGCCTGACCTTGTAGTTACACGCCTTGGCAAGAACTTTGACTTTTATAGTACTGAGATGGGAGCCAGTGGAGGATTTTGAGCAGAGCAGCAATGTAATCTGACCTCCGAAAGGCTCCTTGGCTGCTCTGTGGGGAGAGATTGGAAGTTAGGAAACCAGTTAGGAAGCTGTTGCCTCGTTCAGATTCCTTCCATACCAGTTTACTTTCTCTGCTTCCTCTGTAGCTCCCTTCTAACAAGTCTTGTTGATCCTTTACTTTCTTTCATCTGCTTTATCTTTATGCTCGTCCTGCTCTTCCAGATGACACAAGGCTGGCATCATTTTTACAGTCAATTCAGAAGACCCTACATATTTTCCCAATTTGCCTTAGCCTCTATGCAGTTGCCCTCATGGATCACAATAGTCTTCGTTTTTACTCTGTGATATTCAGCAACATGGTCACAAACAGAAAATGGCCATTTCTCAGCTGTTCAGTCTCTAAGATTATAATCGGCATCTCCTCCAAAATATTTCCTGCTTTGTAAAAGCTCTTTACACCTGCTGATCTTGTACTAAGCATGACTGCTCGTCTCTGGAGTCCTCCATCACCCCCCAGTCTTTTCTAGCCTGCTAAGCTTCACTGACTGCCTCCTAACCCACGTAGGCTGGTTCCCTCGCTCCTGCTCTCATGGACCCAGATGGCTTTGTCTCCTTGATGTGTCACTGCCTTGGTGCCTGAACTGAACCACCGTCAGCTTCACACCTGAAGCATTAGAGGATGCTCGGTCTTGCTGGTGACCAGTGTTCACCCTCATGTCCAGCTCTTCCACACGGACGCTCAAACTGACCTTTAATTTGTATCTTATTCTTTCCAGGGTCATTCTTCATTGCATTTATTCCAAACCTTTACATTTTTCTCAGAGTCAAGATGCAACACGTGGTTTGTCTGACTCTAGAACACATCTTTTCCATTCTACCTCTCACTGTCAATCAAACCTGTAGTTTTTCACATATTTTAGCAGACATTTGCCTCCCCTTGTGCTTTTGTTACAGGTTTATGGTCCCAAAGAACAAGATTTTACATCTGTCTGTATTAAACTATTGTTGTAGTCAACTCATATCACTTTGACTGCTGATTTTATCATCTAGTTTCTCCTCAACCGCTCCCAGTTAATGCTGCCCAAGACAGTGGTTAGCTTCCCTTCTACTCCATTAGGGAAACTGAAGGACTTACACAGGGCAGATCTGCCAACAGACCTTTGCCTTACTTCCGAAACCACTACCAGGTTGATGTTAATGCCCACTTAACCCAGTCTTTCACTAATTAAATGTTCTGTCATCCTACACGCAATAACCCTCAGATCCAAAAGTAGATGGTGTCCTGTTGAAATGCTGTCAACAGCATTTCCTGTTTGGCTACAAATAGTTGCTCCTCGGTTTCAAGCACTCTTGTCAGTCTCTAGTTTCGCTGTTAGTACCCTTGGCTATTCCCTCTTTACTTCGGGCCCATCCACTCAGGTTTCTGAACCCTCCAAATCCGTACCATCGCAAATCTATCAAATACATAATCCAAAATCTTCCTAAATCGCCACTTTGTCCACATCCTCCCTCCCCTCCTCAAAAAATAAATACGAAAAAAAAAAAGCTTTGAACGGCTCTTTATTTGTTCCATAACAGCCCTTTCGCCTTACGTAGTTGTCACTTCCTCCCTTCACTGCCATGAGCACGTTCTCTGTTCGTGTTCCTCCTGCTCCTGCACGTTCTTCCTTGGAGCTCTCCATCTTCCTGAGCCCTTTTGTACTTCATACCTCCTCACGGTGCATGCCCCACCGGATGTCCCTCTGCCCTCAACACAACAGAAGTGAGGAAAAAATAGGAGTGCTACTTTCCAGAGGAATGTCACCTCTCTGGGGAGGGTGCTGAGACTCGAAGAGTGGATCTCTGAGGTTTAGGGAGAGCCGGTATTATGTCAGAGGAGCATTTGCCTAGGAGTTAGCAGACCTGGGTCTGGTCCCAGCTCTGCCTTCTTCCCAACTTTTAATACCTTGAGCCTTCACTTTCCTCAACAGGACTGTGAGTATTACAATTCCTGCCCAACTTCGGATGCTCAGATGAACTTGGAAACGTGAAAGTACTTTAACAATCATAAAGGGCAATGCAAGACGGTACCGTTGAATCAACAGCAACAGAAACAATCCTGTGAAGAGCTGTTCCTCCCTCCCTCTTCCAATAAATTTGGTTTACATAGAAGATTTCAGAGTTGAAAGGGCCCTTAAGTCCCAACTGTTCATAAACACCGAAGGCTCTAGGAAGGTTACCCTGGGGATTCATCTCATTAGAAATAATAGTTTGCTTCCATTTCCCTGTTTTCTGTTTTTAGTCAAATTTCCTTTCAAAAACATTTTTCCCTGTTAAAAAGAAGCAGCTTGCTTGCCTCTTGCACATCTGGGAAGTGGGGATCAGATAAGTGTGCTAGTGACCCAGGCATTCAATTTTTTTTTATCATGTTATCATTTAGCTGAACACCACAAGCTGCTCTGATGGTTTGGGACTGTTGTGTAGTTTTAATTGCTTTTTTGGTTCCTGGTCATATCTGTATTCCCATCATGGATCATGGATCATGCGCTAAATCAGTATTTCCCAAACTTTGCTGCACGTTGAAGTCACCTGGGAGCTTTAAAACATACTGGTACCAGGAAACCGCCCCACACCCAACCCAGGCCCAGGGTATTGTCAAGGGTGTGGCCTGGGCATTGGGATTTTTAAGAACTTCCCAGATGATTCTAATATGCAGCCAAAGTCTGGGAATTACTGGGTTAAACAGAGGGAAGCATTGAGAACTACAGTACTGAAATACAAGAAGTTAATGAAGAGCGTAAAAAATAATTTTGTAAATTTTCCCATCAAGATGATGTTCAGTACCAGAAATTCTGTTTCCTTGGACAAAATGCTTTTAAAAAATCAGGTTGTCTCTACTACTTTAAACATCAAAGTTAAGAAGAGGAAGAATATAGAGGATTATATTAAACTTAGTTTTTTATATTTACTGTGACTAAAAACTAACCTGAAATATATTTTTTGTGGAAATATGCTTACTAATAAGTTAAAACCTCTTGATGTCATTATTTGAAAAACATTATGACCAATTTTAAAATAAGCTGATTGGTTTTGTGGAAGCAAAATGAAAGGATTTCAAATATCAGATCATGAAAGTTTACTTGTTTTTGAAATTCTAGTCCATATTTACAGATATAGTCTCAAAATCAAGCAGTATGTCATTTTAAAATTTATTTCTAGCACATTATGCTTTCTTTGCATGGTTGAAAGTAAACAGCATGTGTTACTTGATAGGAAAATGTCATTTCATAATGAATACAATATTAAAATATTTATAATAAAATATTTAAGGATATATGTCTTTAAAATAAGATTTTACATAAGATAACCTTATCTCGTACCTAGAAAAAATTACCAATTGATTTTTTTTTTAATCTCTAAGTTAAATTAGTCAAAAAAGTTTGGCTCTGACTATCCATTTAGTTAATCCCTAAAAGATCCCATAATATTACGTCTTGGGTGGTTTGTCCCTATCCTTGACTATTTCTAGCAGTAGATACCGTGCACACGCTAACATTTATTAAGCCCCTATTTCGAGTCGCTTGCTTTCCTCTTTACCTCAGTAAGTCATTAAAACACTGTCCTCTTTTTATAATGAAGTTAAGAAACGTGTCTATGGCCACACATCTAGTTAGTATCATCTGGAATTTGAATACAGGACTGTTCAACAACCGAACTCATGACCATTACATCAAACTGTAAAGCCTTTTCATCATGTTCCAGTCACTCCAAGTGTTAGAATTAGGATCACATCAAATCAGTTCTTCACGGAGTTTTTCAGACACCTAAAAGCAGCTTGCAGGTCCCCCACCCTCCAAACTCATCCCCATCCTCTCTTTTCTGTACTCAATATCTCCAGTTTCTACAACTGTCTTTCATAGGAGAGTGACCGTATGTGTGTCCCAGGTTACCAGGGAGAGTCTTTGTGTGCAAGACTGCCATCCCAACGTGATTATTAAGAGCTCTCCTTTCATTCTCGAAAGTCTTCTAGATTGAGGGATAAAAATCATGTTTTCAAGTTGCATCATCATTTTGGTCCCTTTCCTCCAAGGTGTTTGTATCCCTCTGTGTCTGCAGCCTGGCAGCTGTTATTTTGAAATTGTAGTATTTGGGATTCTACTGCTATGAAAAGTGGAAAATTGAGAAAAGATGCAGACGTACTTTTTGTCATCTGTATAGTTGACAAAAGGACTCCAAAGGATAGCCTGCTAATAGGAGTAGCTCTCAAAGTTCAGTTCATAAATGTCAATAAAGTCTCCTGAAGTTTCTAGCTGAGAAGACCGCTATAATCCTTTGTACAATTCTCCAAACTAAGTTGCCTGAGGGAAGCCTAGCTTCTTTCCACCAAAGAGACAAAGAATGCAATTTGGGACCTGACCCACCGATTCAGAGGTGATTGCTTAGATAGCTTAAAAATTTGTGTAGCCGATCTGAATTCCTGCTTCAAGTTCAAAGAAGCCCTGTGGCTTCTTTTACATATACATAAGATAAACCTTGCTCACCAGAGATACATTACAACTCATATTTCCCTTTGAGGACAGCTTTTAATGAAAGTAACTGACATATAGGCCATCAATTAATGATTTTAAAAAAATGAAGTCAGGATATTTAAAAAAATGCTTCCCCACATGATTTTAAGCACAACTCAAGTGTTTAATGATAGAGACTTGTTTATGTATATTATGGCATATCTTCAGGATAGAATAACATTCAATCATAAAAGGTGTCTTTAAAAAGCAATTTAAAAATCATACACACTTTTTATAGCCGCCTTTTTCCATTCAGCATAATATTGTAAATATTTCCATGTCAGTATTTTAGACTCAATTCTGTAAAAAATGAGTTGTGTGACTTAGAACACGTTATTTGGTCTTTATGAGCCTTACTTGGGATAACAGTATATCTACCTCTCAGAGTTATTGTGATGATGAGTTAAGATGATAAGTCAGAAAGTCCTAGGACAGAGTACCGCCTATAAAAAGAACACAGTGAATATTCTGTGGGTTATGATAGTAGGACTTTTCATGAAAGGGACATTATTAGCAAATTATTTAATATGTACTGATCCTAGTATCGGAGGGACATAGTAGAACAGAAATTGTAAACTGGTGTCCTGTGAGCCCTATTTGATCCAGTGATGTGTTTTGTTTGTAGAGAATGGTAATGGCCCATAAGGTGGGGTTTTTTTAGTGTTTTTAATCGATTGCCTACATTGACAATTAGATTTCACTAAAAACATCCAAATTCTTGGCATCTAGCAACATTAGACCCTCAATTCCATGTGGTAACAATAGCTTGATGCTTTCCCTACTCTCTTTAGTTTGCCACAGTCCCCACCATTCCCTATGGTCTCCACACCACTATCATTTATCAGGATTGGTGACCATTTATTATTGTTTATCTCATAGTAAAACTAAGAAGAAAGTGAAATATTTTTCTTACTACTGAGTGTAGAATAATGAAAGATTGACTGATAAGGATTCACTCTCAAGAAAAATTCTTCTCTCTCTGGTCTTTTTCATTCAGATATGTTACCTGCCTAACCTCATAGGCATTTGAGTGGAACTAGTAGCCTCTCAAAAAATTCTCAAGCTCTAGGGAACCAGCACTTTGGGCCAGTTGATCATATCTTTTCTTCATTGTATAGATAAGTTAGTTAAGACCCCTGAGAGATTGTCACTTGCCCAAGATTCTAGTTAGAAATCAAGTTGAGGCTGAATCTAGAGGTAGGGTGTTGTCTTTATATATTTATTAGGCTTTTAAAAGTTTTATTATTTTTTCTTAATTTTTAAATGATAGAAATTAGTGTAAATTAATTCTCTTTAGAGTAAACAAACCCTCCAATACCTCTTCCTCCTACAAAACACATATGTGATTCATGGCTTTCTAAATGCAGATTTTTAGCTTTTTCTGGTAACTTCAATAAACTTTTTAGCTTAATAAACTTGTTTTGCTGCAATGCTTGTAGCGAATTTAAAGAGACCATTTGAAAGGTATTGTATTTTGCGTTACGGATTTTCCTCTTTTCAAGAATGGAGAACCTGGATAGAATTTGACCCTAGAAAGCCGTGCAACCTTGAAACACACATGTGGAGGTAGTTTTGATGTTGCAGGTTGTAGATTTCATTTAGTCTGTCAGAAAAGACATTGCAGTGGCTCTTGATTACCTGTGGAACTAGAAGACCCATGAATGCTAGATCCACTTACATATATGTGTGTATTTATAGGTATATGTATGTATATAATTTCTTTTAACTATTAATTTCAAGCTTCTTCTCCAAAACATTACTTAAAACAAATAGCAAATGACTGAATGAAGCCATTTTATTTTTGTGTTCTGTTTCTTCCCCTTCTCCAGTCGCTAGAAAGGGAACAGCGCAAAGCAGTTAGAAAGGGTATCACATGAATAATTCACAATTAGATCTATATTAAATAAATGAGACATTTTAGTATGTAGAAAAATATAAAGCTCTTTTTTTTTTCTTTGAGGAAGATTAGCCCTGAACTAACTACTGCCAATCCTCCTCTTTTTGCTGAGGAAGACTGGCCCTGAGCTAACATCCTGTCCATCTTCCTCTACTTTATACATGGGACGCCTACCACAGCATGGCTTTTTGCCAATCGGTGCCATGTCCACACCCAGGATCAGAACCTGCGAACCCCGGGTCGCCGAGAAGCGAAACACAGGAACTTAACCGCTGCACCACCGGGCTGGCCCCTAAAGCTCTTTTGAGATTTATCATGTGACTAATTGAGTTAATTTGAAGATAGAACAAATGAATTATAGCTAGTAGTTTTATTTAAAAAACCCCAGCTATTTACACTTTCCCTTTTCGAACATTACCTTCCATCATTGAATTAGAAACAGCTCTATATGGGAGATTTTGGATTACATTCGTTATGAAACATTCCCAAATATAAATAGCTTTGGTTTTATTTCAGATTATATGAATAATCCATACTCATTATTAAATAAGGAAAGTATCTAATGACAAGGAAAACTATCCTTGGTCCCATCAACCAGACTTAAAATATTGGTGTATATACGTGGAAGCTTTTGTTCTGTGAGTTAGCAGTACTGCTCATGTCTTCAGAACTGCCCACAGTTGGGGTTTCAGATATATAAAAAAAAAGTTTGATGGATTTAGGAATAGCCTAATGCAATCCAGATTGTAGGAAGGGACAAGGGACACCTACAAGAAAAAAAAAATCCACATATATGGAGGTTTAAGGCACAGCTCATTGATCTCACTGACCAGGTCAGCTGAAGGGATGCGAGCAGAGGATCTTGGTTCACAGTGAGGCTGTTCCCCAGAAAGTAGTAAAAACAAGAAGAGCTGTGTGAATAAAGGCCTCAGCAACGACAGTCCCAAGGGGCAAGTGTGGAAGACCCAAGCTGGGCGACAAGGGGCGAGCTGACCAGAGGAACGCAGAAATTACAGCAATAAGTAGTCTTGTTACACAAATGACTCAAAGTGATGCTTTACATTCTGGTCCAGAGACCTCACTGGGCATCTGCCCTTTTCTGGGACTGTTCTAGGCAGAAGGGGTACCAAGATGAAAAAGACAATCCCCAGTTTCTGAGACTGATATGGGAACAATTATAATAACGCAATAAGTGCAATAACGGTGCCAAATAGGGTATGTTGGAGGATTAACTCTAGTGAGGATGGAATCCAGGGTTAGAGATGCATAGCAGAGAAATCCCCAGGGCAAGAAATTGAAAGATGGACGGAGCTCTGCCCGCCTGGAGAGACGGAGACGGTGCAGACAGAGACGACAGCTGGCACAAAGCAGCAGGGGAGACAGACAGATTCTCTCCATGACCCACGAGCTCATCAGGTAAGCAAGAGTTCTGAATTTACTACCCTTTGAGACTAGTTGAATTATAGATTTTTAAAATATAGTAAAAATCTCTCTAGAACAGGCTAATGGAAAAGGCTTATCTTGATCAACTAGATTATTTGAGATGTGGGATTATATTGTATTTAAATATGTAAAGCCATTCAGATGAGAATAACTGTTGGATAATAAGACTTTGAAACTAACAATGAAACATTAGCTCATAAATGTGTGCTTCTAACATGTCTTGTTCTAGCACTTAAACTTTTCCCCTCATAATCTTGATTGTGCTATGAATTGTTAACCTCATCTTCCTTTTGCGTCCATCTGAAGCAAAATAAACCCTGAATCTGAATAGCAAATATTTACTGTACTATTTTGTGGGAAAAAAATTAGTTACCAAGGGGCTGGCCCCGTGGCTGAGTGGTTAAGTTAGCGCGCTCCGCTGCAGGCGGCCCAGTGTTTCGTTGGTTCGAATCCTGGGCGCGGACATGGCACTGCTCATCAAACCACGCTGAGGCGGCATCCCACATGCCACAACTAGAAGGATCCACAACAAAGAATATACAACTACGTACTGGGGGGCTTTGGGGAGAAAAAGGAAAAAAAGTAAAATCTTCAAAAAAAAACTTAGTTACCAAAAGGACATTCTACTCTTTAGTGAATAATATACCTAATAAGTATTTTCTCCTGGTTTGATTTGGTGATACAAAGGACGACAGACTTAGAGATAAATATCTTCACATTTATGCCTTCACTGCCAACTGTACAACTTCTTGTCAGATCTAACATAATCAGAAAAAATAAATTCTCCGTCCTACGGCAACATAACTAATTCCGTGAAGTTTGAGTCATCACTAAACTAAAATTGTCTCGACTTCTTTTATCTAAGCCTTTTAACTCTACAGTGCATTTCACTGTGTACTCAGTTGTATGGAATGTGGAGGCAGCGTCTGATTTAATATTTTCTATTCATGCTGTTTACTTTGTAGTGAAAATTCTTCAAAAACATTTTAGTCTCCCCCACATTTTCCATCCAGGGCTGTCAGTTCCTATTTAGAAAGGTTAATTGAGACCTGGAGATTCCAAGCCTCTGATACAGAAGCAGCCTTTGCTGGCCTTAATCGTTTTCTTTGAATTTGCTGCCAGGTCTGATTCTACATATAAATATTTGCCTGAGTTGTTTAAAAAAGATTTTTTTTCACAAGAGTTGGGGGGAGTGAGGTTACAATAATGTAATTTATAATATGAGAAAACTACCTTTCATTTCTGCACACTTCCGTCTGCTGATTTCTTGGTTGGTGTCAAATTTGCAGATGTCTTCATTACTGCTCTTCATTAAACTTGCAGCCTCCTTTGGAACTGCTGAGTCGACCAGGAAATAAAGCAGCAGATTTGCAGGAGCCCACGCTGTTTTAATTAATTCCCCTTAATATTAACAGAGGAGGTTGGGGTAAGTGGGCCCTTTGCCGTGACCCTCAACTTTTAAAAAGTGAGCATCTTCTTATGAGAGCCAACTTTGAGCAACTTACTTTGGACTGCTGACATGTTCCTTTTTTACCTCTCCAAAAAGCAGAGCCTGCCTTGGAATGTGGTAGAAATAACCCACCACAGAAGAAATAGTCTGTGAGCCGAAGAACTTGCTGCTAATGTTGGCTTTTTGCTCAGCATCCTGCCTGGAAGGAAGAAACTTTCTTCACCACCTCACTCACTCTTTCCAGCCAGAGGTCACCCACCCAATTTAGAGAGGAGCCTGGCCCTGTGCTCAGGGTCTGTGCCTGCACTGTCCATGGGAATATAACCTGAGCCACATAAGTAATTTAAACTTTCTAGTAGCCACATTTTTAAAAAGTAAAAAGAAACAGGTGAAATTAATTTTAATAGTATATTTTAACCCAACATATTGAAAACATTATCATTTCAACGTGTAATCTATAGAAATCCTGTTAATACAGGATAGTTTACATTTTTTTAAACTAAGTCTTCAAAATCTATTTTACACTTGGAGCGTATCTCAATTTGGATGTTAAATTTTTATTGGAAATAGATGTTCGGTTATTTAGATTTCATAAAATTAACAGCTGAAACGGTAGATGCACAAGTTGTTCCAAGTACACTAGGAACTGTTTTCTAATCAACTGGACCAGGTATCAGATTTTAAAAATTAACTGAAATTAGATGGAAAGACATTCCATGCACATGGATTGGAAGAATAAACATAGTTAAAATGTCCATACTACCTAAAGCAATCTACAGATTCAATGCTATCCCAATCAGAATCCCAAGAACATTCTTCACAGAAATTGAACAAAGAATCCTAAAATTCACATGGGGCAACAAAAGACCGCGAATTGCTAAAGCAATCCTGAGCAAGAAAAACAAAGCCGGCGGAATCACAATCCCCGATTTCAAAACATACTGCAAAGCTACAGTGATCAAAACAGCATGGTACTGGTACAAAAACAGGTCCACAGATCAATGGAACAGAATTGAAAGCCCAGAGATAAAACCACACATCTATGGACAGCTAATCTTCAACAAAGGAGCAGAGGGCCTACAATGGAGAAAAGAAAGTCTCTTCAACAAATGGTGCTGGGAAAACTGGACAGCCACATGCAAAAGATTGAAAATTGACCATTCTTTTTCACCACACACCAAAATAAACTCAAAATGGATCAAAGACCTAAAGATTAGGCCTGAAACAATAAGTCTTCTAGAAGAGAATATAGGCAGTACACTCTTTGACATCAGTTTCAAAAGAATCTTTTCGGACACTATAACTCCTCAGTTGAGGGAAACAATAGAAAGAATAAACAAATGGGACTTCATCAGACTAGAGAGCTTCTTCAAGGCAAGGGAAAACAGGATTGAAACAAAAAAACAGCTCACTAATTGGGAAAAAATATTTACAAGCCATTTATCGGACAAAGGGTTAATCTCCATAATATACAAAGAACTCACATGGCTTAACAACAAAAAAACAAACAACCCGATCAAAAAATGGGCAGAGGACATGAACAGACATTTCTCAAAAGAAGATATAAATATGGCCAATAGACACATGAAAAGATGTTCATCACCGCTAATCATCAGGGAAATGCAAATCAAAACTACACTAAGATATCACCTTACACCCGTTAGATTGGCAAAAACATCCAAAACCAAGAGCGACAAATGTTGGAGAGGTTGTGGAGAAAAAGGAACCCTCATACACTGTTGGTGGGAATGCAAACTAGTACAGCCACTGTGGAAAACAGTATGGAGATTTCTCAAAGAGTTAAAAGTAGAAATACCCTATGACCCAGCCATCCCATTACTGGGTATCTATCCTAAGAACCTGAAATCAGAAATCCCAAGAGTCCCTTGCACCCCTATGTTCATCGCAGCATTATTTACAATAGCCAAGACGTGGAACCAACCTACATGCCCAGAAACTGATGATTGGATAAAGAAGATATGGTATATATACACAATGGAATACTACTCAGCCATAAAAAAAGACAAAATTGGCCCATTTGCAGCAACGTGGATGGACCTCGAGGGTATTATGTTAAGCGAAATAAGCCAGTCAGAGAAAGACGAACTCTATATGACTCCACTCATAGGTGGAAGTTAATATATTGACAAGGAGATCTGATTGGTGGTTACCAGGGAAAAGGGGGGGGTGGGGGAGGGCACAAAGGGGGAAGTGGTGTACTCACAACATGACTAACAATAATGTACAACTGAAATCTCACAAGGTTGTAATCTATCATAACATTAATAAAAAAAAATTAACTGAAATTAAATAAAAGTATTCCATTTCTTAGGTGCATGAGCCCACCTTTCAAGGGCTCAGTAGCCATGTATGGCTGATGACTACCGTATTGACAGCACAGAATTATAACCGTGCTACTTAGTGTGTGTCCACAAAGTGACAGCATCAGCATCACCTGGGATTTTGTTAGACATGCAGACTCTCAGGCCTCGCCCCAAGCCTGCTGGATCAGAGCCTACAGTTTAACAAGATGCCCAGGTGACTCGTGTGCTCAGCATAGTTTGGGAAGCACTGACCTATTTAACAAACCAGGAAAACTGGTATTCTTGCATCCATTTTACAGATGGGTATACTGAGGCTCAGAGAGGTTATATAATGTGCCCAAAATCATGGAGCAAACAAGCGTGGGAACTGAAATTCAAAGTCCAATCTAGCCCGTTTTTAAGCCCACACTCTTTCTAATATTTATCACTCAAAGCATGGAATATTAGTATGAAAGTTAATTTTAAATGGTGTCCAGAGAAGCATTTTAAAAAGTACTAAAATACAAAGATTGAAGACTTGTTCCTCTTGTGTCCTCTTTTAATTTTTCTAATAAGGTCAAGTATAAAGTCTCTGATGGATGCCAATAAATTTTCAACACCTAACACTTGCTGAAAGTGGGCTGCGGCCTCGGAACCTTCAGCAAACTATCTAGCTAGATCTTCATAGTTTTGTCATGTTTCATTGTATTTATTCTTACTTTTACCTTCTATTTTTGGCACATGATGCAGGCTTTCCATATACAGCAGTGAAACAAAGCAGATGTAGTTAAGTAAGAGAAGGTGGGTATAAATATGAGTGCAGATGGTGCACAGACCTGGCCACATGGGGAAGGAGGCCTGGGAATGACCGAGGTGTGGGCAACACTGCTCTGGATGAAGATGCCTCCCCAAGAGGCAGAGCTGCCAGCAGTTCCAGCCCTAGAGAAGACTGGGAAGCACCCAGAACATGGTGTACTTTTGCTGCTGGTGCCCCTTCAAAGCACTTAACAATTGTTGTAATTTTTCTTTTGCACATGCTGTGGATGTTAATTGTGTTTGGTTGGTTGCTTGCCCAGCATTTCCTAGCTTCCAGCATGGAAAACAAAGAGGTCCTCCCTTTGACCTCAATCCAACACCAAGACTGTGGGCATGGCTATGGGCATAGCCAATTGGATGCTTCTGCTCCCGGATGAATACAGAGCCGGTGTCATGAAGAAGCAAGGACAGCTTAGGGCTCATGATGGCTGTGGAGGTAATGGTGCAGTGGCTGCACTACTGTGCCGTGGTGGCAGTGATTTCCATGGCAGAATTCAACAGGGGCACTAGGAATGCCCTGTCCTGGCTTTGACCACCCTAGGGGCCCAGGCTCCCCTAGCAAGGCTCCATTCTCTGAGTGTGATTGCTCTCTAGGCTTCCCGTGGTATCCGTGGGTTACGCAGAATCATTCTAAAACTGTCTCTTCCTTCTATGGTCACCAGAGTTGGTTTCTGTCTTTTGCAAATAAAAAAACCCTGATTGTTAGAATGAGGTTATTTGATGGTTCATTAGACCCCCTAGACTACCGAATCCCATGAGAGTAGAGTCTGTATCTGCTTGTTCACATGGCATAATCCCTGGGGCCTGTCCCATTGTTTCAAACGAGGTTGGTGCTCAATAGTTATTTGATGAACGAATAAGTGAGTGTTAAGCATATAACAGATGCTAATAAACAATGTCAAAAAATCAGGCTTTTACTTTCTCAAAATGTATTAAGCGTATTCTATGATTTAAGAGAATCTATGAAAAATTAAACGTCAAAGGTAATATTAATACATAAATTAAAAGAACTCTTTACTTCGCAAACTGATTCGCCAAGATTCCTTCCCTTTTTTTTCTAGTGTTAAGTTTTGTTTTCTAACGGTACACTATTAGAGGAGCTTAAACAGAACAGAGCATAGAGATGCAAGTTTTGTGCCGTGAATATGTAATGCTTTCAGAACTAAAGGAAACAAATTATTGAAAAAGAACATATTCAGAGCCATTGGCAACACAACATGGTTCAACAATGAAGATCACACATATCTGAAATAGAAACGTCAATCACAGGGTTCTCAGAAATTAGTATGCGGCATGCTAACTTGCAAAGCTAGCAAAGCAGTTCACCAACATTATTAAGCCTCACAACAACCCAGGAGTTACCTACTTTTGTGCCTCTTTTCCAGGTGAGAAAGCTGGAAAACAGACACAGCAGAGAAACTACGTAATTTGCCTAAGGTCAAGGAGCTGATAAGAATCACACAGCTAGAGAGCTAGGATTTAACTCCAGCCTGACTCTAAAGCTTAAGATTTAGGTACCACGCTACACTTGTTGCCTAATAGATTAGTGGCGTATGTTTGTAATAAAGATTCTGACTCCATTTTTGATGTTTGACAAGTGACAACTTTCATGTCTCATCCACCTCAACCTTTCTCCTTTTTGCCCCGCATCTGGGCAAGCCTATACGGAAGTTGGTACCTTCCCTCTCTTGGCGCCATAGTGGAAGTTCACCTCACTCCAACCCTACCTCCTACACACACACACACACACACACACACAAGCAAGCCCCTCCCCCTTCCTTCTCTCCAGACATTTTCAGCCCAGCTTGGGTGACTGTCCTGTTCTCCCCAGA